CTCCTTTCTTTGTGGCTTCCCTGGTGGGGCGTGGGGACCATCTTGTGCCTCACGCAGAGGCCAGCCTCACCCCAGGCTCATCCCACTCCAGGATCTTCACCTCCCACCTGCATCGGCCTCTTTCCTTCCTTACACAGGACGGCCTGGCCCTGTCAGCCCAGGGGCTCCCAGCCCTACTCTAGCTCGCTTGGCCAAGAAAGGGCTCATAAGAAACCAGATACCTTTGAAGGCAGAGGGCAGCATAAATGATAACCAAAGGTTTTTTTGTCACCTTTACAAATTGCTGCTCCTGTGTGCAGCCTTCTGGCTTCTCATGGCCACCTTTCATCACACACAGAAGTGTCACGCATAATACTTCATGTCAGTATCACACAAACTGATTTGTCTTCCCTGTGAGCCTCTTCTCTAAGCAGGTCAGCTGCAGAGGTAGGCACTGCAGACAGACTCTCCTTATGGGGCCCAGCATGCAGCCAGGACCCCCATCATACTACCACGTTCCAATAGCTGTGCCTATGCTGTGGGTCAGGCCAGTCTAGGGGGAGCCGGCCACGGGCTGAGGCTGGTGTGCAGGTCCTGCAGATCTGTGTGGAAAAGCTGACCCCCTGGCTAAGACTCACCCTGTCAGGGAAGGTGGGACTGCTTCTACTTTGGGGAATACAGCGTGCAGAACGTGCTGGTGGTCACCACCGTGAGCCCACCATGTGGGTGTGGCACAGGAGGACTCACGGCTCAGGGCTCAGCCATTTCACTGCACGCGTCCTCTGGCCTCAGCAGGGGTGGAAGAGAGAGTCCTTCACCGGGGCACCACCACCACTGCAGTCCCAGGCTGTTGTCTGAGGCCTATTCTGAGCCCACCACCAGAATGCTGGCATGAGGATGGATGTGGTCCGTGCCTTCATGGGGCGCACGCTCCAAATATGAAAACAAAAAGAGCAACCCAGGTGAGGTCAGAACTAACGAGCTGCAGTGAGCACAGAGGGCAGGGCTGGGGGAGTGCTGGGAGCGGGGAAGTGTGGGGGGATTCTGGCAAGGAGAGACAGGATCCCACTGGCATTTTGTATGGCTCCCTTGGCCGCTCTGCACAGAGGAGGGCAGGCTGGAGGGCAAGGCCAGGAGCTGGAGGTCAGCACGGGGGTCCCGCAGGTGTCCAGGTGGGCGGGGACGGAGCATGCGTCGGGAAGTGACAGCTGGGAAGTGGTCCCAGTAGAGATGTAGGCGGAGCTGCTGCTAAGTGGAGTGTGAGGGAAAGGAGGGAGGAAGGCCCTTGGGTTCAGGAGACTGGTGGGAGCAGGGAGGAAGCAGGACTTCCGTTTGGGTCCCACTGAGTTTGGGGTGGCATGGTGAGAAGGCCGCTGGACCTAGGAGTCTGAAGGCCCCCGAATCTGCATTCTGAGCCTGGTTTCCTCATCTGCACAGGACACGATTGTCCTGTTCCATCCTCTCAGGGGCTGCTGTGAGGTCCAGGCAGATCACAGCTGTCCTGGCCTCGGGGCCTTGACCCGCAGCCGTCAGGCTCTCAGTCCAGTATCCTCCTTGACTCCAGCCCCATTCCACTTCCCCGGAACCCCCTTCCTTCTGCTTCTTCCACCCCCAGGCAGCAGCAAGAAGGCGGTGCTGAGGAGGGGCAGGACCACCTTGGCTGAGCCCACAGCAGGCGGTGGGCCAGCCCTGGAACCTCAGTGGACAGGGTGGCTGAAGGGCAGCCCAGGACCCTCCTCCCAGCCAAGGGGCTCCTGCATTTGCTGGGGAGTTTCGTGAGTTCAGAAAAGAGCAGAGAGGTCAGTGATTTCTCCCCACATGTCCAGATCCACCCATACACAGGCCTCGGTCCCACTGAGGCAGGATTTTCCAGATGCCTTAGAGTTGGTGACCACACAACCATGACAGCGATGGGGTGTGACAGAGGCATGAACTGATGGAGAAGCTTCACCACACAGATGGGGAGACAAAGGCTCCTGGAGGAAGGGAGCTGGCAAAGGTCACAGGCTGTGTGTGAACGCTGACACCAGAGCAGCTGCCCTGGGCTCTCTGTGCTGGGAGGGGCAGGGCTGGGGCTGTGCCCAGATGGGAATGTCCGTGCAGAGCCAGAGTGAGCAGATTCGGGGTGTGGCACCAAGCCTCAGAGTGGGGGTGTTGGCGCCAAGCCTCAGGGTGCAGAGTGGGGTGTTGGCGCCAAGCCTCAGGGTGCAGAGTGGGGTGCTGGCACCAAGCCTCAGGGCGCAGAGTGGGGGTGTTGGCACCAAGCCTCAGGGCGCAGAGTGGGGGTGTTGGCACCAAGCCTCAGGGCGCAGAGTGGGGTGTTGGCCAGCACCAGCCAGGGTCAGGCTGACTGTCCGCATTCCTCTCTCTTGCCTTTGGGCTCTGCAGGGCACCGCCCACTCTCAACCCTCAAATCCTCCCTACGTCTGCTCAGGGCTCTGATGCCAAAGAAATGAAGCTTTTCCTGTGGCCTCAAGACCATGCCACAGGTGGGGGCTATGCCAGGGGCCAGGGCTTCCGCGCAGTGGGCAGGGAACAGAAATTCCCTCTTATTCCCCAAACCTGCCCCTAGGAAGCCACTCCACCTGCACAGGCCCCACAGACCACTGCAAGCTCCGTCCTACTCGGACACGGGCAATTCCTGCTCGGCAGGCTAGTGCAGTGCTCCACACTCCTCAGCAGCATTACCTTTGTGTGTAGAACCTTACCAACAAAATGCACTTTGACACTTTCAGAGCCTTACAGCTTACCACAAACACACAGCTACTACCACACTAAAAAGCAGCAAAATGACGGGTCCCTTCTGGAAGGGGCCACTCCCCGTGTGGCAGAGCTGCCTTGCTGGGGCCAGAACCCACGTGCTATTTCTGATGAAGCCTGGAGAGCACCAGGTCTTGGGAGAGCACTTCTAATCTCTCCTGTGACTTGTGGGCAGTGTCAGAGCGAGCCACATTCGTTCATTCAGACAGCAAGCCTACTCTTGGTCAAGCAATGGGCTGGAGGTGGGGGAGAGCAGAGGTCCCTGCAGCGGGATGGGGCTGCAAGGTCCTGGCTGGGCCTGACATGTGAGTCTGGGTCCAGGGCCTGCAGGCACCATGCCCCTGCTGACTGGAGCTGGGCAGGAGCCAGAGCCAGGGGCCTCAGAAGAGGGTCTGCTCAGCCCGGGTGGGCATGGGAGGCCCCAGTGAGGTCCACCTCCTTCAGAACAAATACCTCCCTTCTTTCCATCTGGCTTCAGCTGTAACCTGCTGCCAAGCACCCCTTCCTCTCTCCAGCCTGACCACAGAGCCCTCAGTTGCTCCAGGCAAGGTGTCCTGGGCACCGCACCTCAAGCTTTCCGTTTTCCTTCCTGCTAAGCAAACAGAAAGGCAAAGTGCACTGCAGGCACCGTGTCCGCGTCGGCGAATGTTTTTCAAACAATATCTGTTTCCGGAGAAACCTCTGATGGAGATACATGTTTTGTTAGCAGCCGGAAGGCTCATTTCTGACAAAACCCTTGTTTTCCTAGCGGATCTTCCCACGTTAGAGCGCTTTCCCCCCGTGGTTCTGGCAAGGGTGCATGTTTTTGGTGAGGCTGTTCCGTGGGTTAGCCATTTTAATAACATTTTCATCTGAGACTCCCAGTGGGAAAGTTGAGCCTGGCCCAAATGCCTAGGGAGCCTTCTGAGATCTGTTAGGATGGTGCCAACGTGAGTGTCCCGTTCCTAAAGTGTATAGGCCTCCTCCAGCTCTGGCCAACCCCGAGCACCACTCTGCCCACCCACCTCGTACTTCTGAGAGTCAGTCCTGCTCCTCTGTCCTGGGCCAGAGGGACTTTTGGGGGGTAGCAATGACAGCATGGCTGTTCCTCCCACCGCATCAGGTTGCCCAGAGCCGCCACCAAAGTGGGGAGGCCTTCCTGAGCAGGTGGGGAAACCGAATGGGTGCGGTAGGTGGTGTTGGTGGCTGTGGGGTGGGAGGCACATTGGAGGGTGGAGGAGGCCTGGAGGATGGAGGTGGGTAGGGGCGATGACAGCCATGCTCAGGATGTGGACAGTGACGATGGGAAGCTGGGGACCGTGGGGATGGCAGCAGTGGTGGGCGTGTTGCTGGTGGTGGGCTGAAGGAGGTGGTGGTGATGGTGGAGCTGGCAGTGTAGGTGGTGGTACTCCACAGCACAGATGGCAGAGGCCATGTGGCTGGCTGTGGGCTGAGGCTGGGGGTAGGTGAGGGTGAGGGAGGGCTGATGGTGGAGGTGGCAGCGGTGATGGAGCTGGAGGAGACTCTACTTGACGCTGGCCCAGCAGTTTTCTAGATACGATCTGGGGTGTTTCAGGGAACCGCCAGGTGCCACTGCACTGCCGGCGAGTGCTCCATGCAGTCACCAGGTGCAGCATTTCACTCCCTGGGCGGCCACAAAGGCCTGGCCCAGGGTCACACTCTGGGAGCTGCGGAGACACAAGCGGCACTCGGGCCTGGTCCTTCAGCTGAGCTGAGCCTGCGATCCTGAGTCCCCCTGGGAGTCCCGTTTGGAGGACCGGAGCCTGAGCAGCCAGTCCCCAGACTGCGGAGAGGAGGGGAGGGACGGACATGCCTGATGCCAGCCTGCGTGCGAGGGTCTGCGGACAAACCAGCCCTGCCCCGAGCGCCGGACCCAGGGGTCCAGCCTTCTGGCCTCGGGCCGCACTGGCGGCCACTGGGGGCGGGGCTGAGACGGTCCGAGGAAGGGCCGCAACCTTCGCAGGCCAGGCGCCCCACTTGGGAAACTGAGGTCCGGGAGGCCCGTGCCCGGGGCCACGCAGCCGTGAAACGTGAAAACCAGGGCGGTACCGGGCCCCCTGCCCTGCCCTGGGGTCAGGCGCCCGGAGACGCACTCGGCGGCTCTGGCCGGCCCCGGGGCGCCGCGCTCCGCTCGCCCCCGCCCCGCCCGCGCCTCTCCCGCGGGCCGCCCAGGAGGAGGGAGCGCTGTCCTCATTCCACCTCGGCCGCCCGGTGCCAAGTGGCTGGCGGCGGCGGCGGGAGTCCGGGCCCGGGATACTCACGAAGAGTCCGGAGTGCCGGGCGCCGAAGAACGGGAAGGGCCCCGAGAGCGGCCGCAGCCCCGAGCCGCCGTCGTCCTGCTTGGGGGTGACGGCGTCGCCGCGCTCCGCGCCGAACGGGTAGAAGTCGGCGAGCGCCACCGCGCCGCGCACCCCGCGCGCCCCGAGCCCCAGGGCCGCGGCCGCCAGCAGCGCCCAGGCGACGCCGAGACGCATCGCGCGGTGAGCGCGGGACGGGGCGGGGAGCGGGCGGCGGGGCCGAGGCTGCGCGCGGGGGTGGCCGCGGGGCCAGGCGGGGAGCGCGGTGCGGGGCGCGGGGCGCGGGGGGCGCCGGGTGGCCGCGCCGTCGGGAGCTCCGCGTTCCGCACCCGCTCCGCGGAGGAAGGCGCCGGGCGGGAGCGCGTTCGGGGCCGGCCCCGCCTCTGGGGCCGCGATTTAAATATCCAGCCCGGCGGTCACTCGTCCGGGGCGGGGCCGCGCAGAACGGGCGGCTCTTAAAGCGCCAGGCCCCGTGGGAGAGCGCGGCGCGCGGGGAGCCCCGTCCCTGGCCTGGGCGCGCTCTGTCCACGCTCCGCCCCGGTCCCCAGCCCGGAGGGGGCGCCGGGGCCCTGAGAGCAGTCCTGGGACAGCCCTGTGTCCCCTGTGTCCCTAAGGCCCGAGGTGCTGGGCCTGCCCCGAAGGCGTGACTCACGGGGTGGGGGGCACCGTGGCCGGGCAGTGCCTGGATGTACTTTCTCAGAGTGGCCAGAGGCCTCTGCCATGCTGCCCCCTTCCCAGCCCTGAGCCTGGGGTCGCCAGGCTTCTGGCCACAGGGGCAGGCTGCCAGGGACCCCACTCCCTGCCCGGGTTTGTGCGAGGAAGAGCCCGGCCGGAGACTTGGAGGCAGGGAACTAAGTGTTCGCGGCTGCGTGGCCACATCACGAGAGACCCCTGGGAAGCTCAGGACCTCGGGTCGACTCCTGGGTAAAGGAGACCCTCTGTGGGGAAGACTGGTCCACGAAGGCCCTGGGGGCAAGGCCTTGGCAGGTGGGGACAGGACCCTGAGTCCCAGTATTTGAATTAATGGTCCTGACCCTGTGACCTGCCCAGCCCTCCCCATGGCCTCTCGGGCCACTGGCCTGGGCATTGCTCTGTGTCCATCTGTCCTTCCTCAGGGGCCCAGTCGGGACCACCTCTGTGTCTCCAGGCCCACAGCAGGGTCTGGTTCCTGGAGCCTACCCAGCCTGCCCTGCTCTCTTAGATCCTGGTGTTGGGTGATGTTGTGTGCCACACTGGGGCCTCCAAAGGCAGGAGTGTACCCCTCGAAGACAAGCAGAAAAGGCCCGCCTGCTGGTAACCGCAGCTACCACTGAGGTTCTGGGTGGTTCCATGTCTGTCTTCGTGTTTGTATTTTCTGAAATGCCTCAAGTGAGCACGTGTTGTTTTGCGGGGAGGCCCAGATGCAGTCAGTTATTTTTAAGAAGCATGGGAGGGTTCTCTGCGTGTGACGGGTGTTGCTGGTTTTAACAGACCCTGCACATGGTGTTTTCACTCAGAGGTTCACGACCCTTTAGACTTGGTGTCAGGGCCAGGTGTGGAACTTTTAGGGAGGGCTGACCCCACACTGGCATGCCCCTGAGTCAGTGCCTCCTGAGAGCCTGCACCTGGCGCCTTTCCCCCCCTGCATGGGGTGACGACTCTACTTGCAGAGAGGTGAACTGAGCCGGGGAGGGGACAGGCTCTGTCCTGCAGTTAGCCCTTGGGTCATGGTCCCAGCTCTCAGAGTTCCAGGACAGCCATGGTTCCAGGGTCAGGACCGTCAAGGCCTCCTGTCTCCAGAGGGAGGAACCAGAGAGGGCGTGGAATTGTAGAATCCCACCTTGAGGCTGTGAGAGTGAGAACCTGGGGAGAAGAGACCTGTCTGCACGCACAGACGCACACTCATTCACATGCATGGAGGCAGAACGTACATACACGGGGCCTCAGGAACATGCTTTAACCCCTTGATCAGCCTGGCCCTGGCCTCCTGGGCTGGGAGAGCTGCTCCCACCTCCTGCTGGCCTGGCACAGGCTGTGGGGTCAGGACAGGGCCCCATGCAGCAGCCTCAGGAACAGAGCAGCCAGGTATCACCGAGGTGGGAAGCAGGAAGAACACTTTTTTATCTGCTTTTCTCTAGAAAAACCTGGCAGCCCTCTTTTCGGTGCCTTTGGCGCTGGCTGGAAAGCCCTTCCTGTGGGTTTGTGAAGGTGGGAGGTGGTGGGATCTCTCTACAGAAGAGGCATTGCCATGGTGTGTGAGGCTTTGCCCCTCACTGGTGCTGGCCCTCCTCCTGCCTTGTCCCTACTCCCCATCCACCTCCCACCCAATGCTCCTCCTCTGCCCTCACAGCCCAGCCTGGTGCTGCCTCCCAGCCCGCTGCCCAGGCCACAGGCGCCCTCCTCGGCATGGCTGACCTCCTCTTGAGCACAAAAGACAGGGGCCGGGGGAATAACCCACTTCTGTGCTTGGTTTGGGTCAACTTGGAGGCAGGGCTGCCCAGGGCCCAGGGCACCTTAGGGCACACCGTGGCACTCAGTGGCTGCATCAAGAGGAGGTCTGTTTCTCCAGGCGGGTGGGCTGGTGGGCCTGACGGGGGTCTGCTGAGCAGCGTTTGGAAATGCTCAGGCCGGTTCTCGTCCCAGAGGGTCAGAGCTTGTGGCCTGGAGAGCGGCTGGAGGTGGGCCAGACCCTGTTCATGGCCACACTCCCTCGGGCACATACCCTGCTGACCAGCCAGAGCTCGTGGCCTGGAGAGTGGCTGGCGGTGGGCCAGACCCTGTTCATGGCCACACTCCCTCGGGCACGTAGCCTGCTGACCAGCCTCCGCTGTGCCCGTGCAGATGTTCAGCCGGGCCTGGTGAGCTGGGGGTTAACACAGGCCCTGCTGCTGCTGGGCATTCATTTCATTAAAAAAAAAACAGCACAACTCCGCAGGCAAAAAAGAAAACAAATGTTTTTTTCAGGTGCTAAAAATATTATCAGGAAATACTTTTCAGCAATGTGCTGTTTTAGGTTCCCCTCTGGACTCAAGGGCGCCTTGGTCTCTGCCACAGAAAATCCACATTTATCAAAACCAAAATTGTTTTATCAAGCAGGCTCATGTTCTGTGGCCAGGAAACCTGAGCCTCCCCAACCGGCCTGTGACATTTTAATTTAGGGCCTGAGTGTGTGTGCAGTTTAGATGGGGTGCCCCGGGAGCTGCCCTTGGGGTGGCCCAGGACTCGGGGCTCCACGATCCACGCAGGCCAAGAGGGGGGTGGTGCCCTCTCCAGCCTGCACCTGGTTGGCTGGGCCTGTTTGTCGGGTCCCCACAGGGTAGGGGTGGGAGATCCCAGGACCTGGGCTGCCAGGGGCAGGGGCTGGCTGGCTGTAGCTTACCCCTAACTTCCCTTCTCTCCCAGAAGTGGCAGGTGGAGCGCAGGTCCCCTGACCCAGAAGCCCCGACCCCAAATAAACATCCACGAGCTCCAGCATGAGGCCAGGAGCTCACAGGGGCCGAGGGCTGCCCACCTGCTCACCTGGTCACTGCGCTGTGTGGCTGGCTGTTGGTACCGAGGAGGGGGGTCTGTGACGCGGGCCCACACCTCCTCTTTTCATGCACATGGAGCGGCACACGCCTTGACTTCCATGACAGGACCCCTGTGGTTGCTCTTCAGGAAACAGGGGGACCAGGGCTGACACTTCCTTCCCAGGATGCTCACGGCTGCATGGGCTCAGGCTTCGGCTCTCCCTGTCCTGGGGGCGACCAGACCCCACCTCCCATCGGCAGCATCATCCAGAGGGCCCGAGACAAAGCCCCATTCCCTGTGGGCTCTGGGACAGCAGGGACAGCAAGCCCATGGAAGGAGGGGTGCTCAGGCCTGGGGTCCTCTGATGCCCGGAGCTTCCGAAGTGACAAAACCATGCCCTGAGCCGTTTTTAATGATTTGGGAAAACTCTCACGGTATCGTGTGAAGCAAAAGTTTTTAAAAAGAGTCCTCCAAGGAGCACGCAGCCGTCCTGAGCACAGGTGTGCACGGAGAGGAGGCACTGGGTGCCGCCTGAGGGGTTCTGCAGCTCGAGAATGATGGAGGTGGTTACGTTCTCCTTTCTATGTGTCCCTGCTAGCTTTTTTTTTTTTTTTTTTGCAATTAATTCGAAACGTATGAATGTTTTGGAAGCGCAGATAAACAATGTTCTTGCCCCAGCTTTGGCCAACCGGAGCGTGTGCTTCCCTCACCCTGGGGTGCTCCAGAGGGCTGGGTTCATCTCCTGGGGCCCTGCACCCACCCTGCCTGGCCTGTTTGTGGGTGCTGCCGTCTGTTTTCCACAGGGCCCCTCCTCCAGTGCCCACCCCCCGGGGCCTTCATCTCCCATTTGTCCCCTCCCAGTGTTGGTCTGCAGTGCCGTCCTTGGACGCCTGCCAAGGGTGCTGTCCCCGCCCCGGGCACCTGAGGGCCTGTCAGAGCCTCCTGGCCAGAGGCCGGAGGGGCCCTCCAACAGCCCCGATGCCTCACATTCCTCGGCGAGCCTCAGGGTGGCAGGAATCCGAAGGGATTTTGTGTTCTGTCTCAGACCGGAGCCGGGCCTCTGCCTGCATCCCCGCCTTGTGTGGGGGAGGGTCTCCTGGCTTTCAGAAACCCGGGGCACATGTATCCCCTCTGCCCACCGGAGAGGGCAGGCAGAGGAAGAGTCAGACTGTGGAGGCCTCTGAGGCCACAGGCCTATGTGTGGCTCTAGCTCCATGAGGTGGCTCTGGGGGTCCATACCCACCTCTGAGTTCTCACTGATGGGTTCCAGAGGCAGACCCTCCCCTTAGGAGCACCATGGATCTGTGCTGCCTCTACCAGGCTGGCCTCAGGGGCTGCTTCCTCGAGTACCCTGCGCCCGCTGGACCATGGCCTCAGCTGCTCTGCAGGCTGGGGATGGCAGCAGGGAGATGGAGGTGGCAGTCCCAGAGCCGAAGCTGCTACAGGTGAAAAACCTCCACTGTTAGCTGAGTGCTCTGGCCTCAGCCTGGGCGATACTTCACGTAGGACACACCATGGCCCTCTGGGGGTGAGGCCACCCCACTTTATGGATGGAAAACCAAAACCTTAGGAAGCTGTCCAGGGCTGCACAGCTGGTGGGGTCACAGCTGGGCTGGGCTGGAGGCTGGCTGCTGTGGGCCATGCAGGGACATTTCCCCTCAACTCTGGGGAGGGCGTGGGAAGAGGTCCAGCCCCCCTTCTGTCTCCAGCCCCCCTCCCTTGGCCTTGCCTCTACGAAGGGGCAGGAGGATCCCAGCATCTGGGACATGTCCTCTGGTTAATACAGCTCTGCCCGCCCCCTCACTGGGCAGATGGGTCTGGGGTGAGGCCAGTGGAGCGGGAGCCTCGGCCCGGGCTGTGGGGTCCCTGGGCCTGACCCCTCCTGTCAACCTCATGCAGCCTCGTCCCACAGCCCGGCTTCCTCCTCATCTGCAAACCGGGTGCTCAAAGGGCCCCTGCGAGAACAGAGGGAGAGGCCTCCAAGCCCCAGCTTGGTTCTCAGTGATGGTGAGACCTGGACAGGCTGAAGACAGTGCCAGTGTATTTCCACTACGAACAGCCTCTTTTCCAAAGACATGCCTTCGTGCTGAGGCAGTGAAAACAGCGTCTCCTGTGCTGATTTAACTATTTGTTAAGATTCACAGTTCTCAGGCCCCCATGTGCATTTCAAATGTTCCCCATGAGCAGCCAGGGCAAGGAAGGTCCTGAAACTGGGAGAGCGAGCTGTCTACTCGCTGTGACGCTGAGAAATCACCTGGGACCCTCCCACCTGCAGTGCGTTCCCTTCCTCGAGGCCAGCCAGCCACATTAGGCACCTCCCCTGTGCTCCTCCGAGCTTCAGTCCCCTTGGGTGCTGCAGGGATGCAAAGTGGGAGGCGTGGCCACCGCAGCCCTGGGGACACACAGGGGCTCCCCCTGCCTGGGGCTGGAGGGGCCAATGCTGTCTCCGTCCTGCAATGAGAACCTTGAGGTTCCAGTGCTCCCTCCCACCTGGCCATCCCTCAGGTCCTTCTGCTGGGCTGCAGAGTGGGAGGCCCCCTCCATGAGGAGACTGTGGATGGAGAGGGAGGAAGGGAAAGGACATACCCACTGAGCACCACACACCGCCTCTCAGTGACCCTCCACCTGCCATCTGGCAGAGCGCTCTCCAGCAGTGGGGGCAGGCTGCCTGCTGTCCTCCACCCTTGACTGGCCACAACAGGGGCTGGACCCGCTGCCACCACCGACTCTTCCTTTCCCGGAGTAACCTCTGCTCATGGGTCACCAAGCTCTTCCCCCACAGCCCAGGCTGAACCTCAGAACCCTCAACACAGCCACCAGCTGTGGACCTCAGGCAGAGGTGCCAGGCAGGAAGAGCCCCCCGCCCACCTCTCTTTAGCGCTGGGTTTTGCACAATTCACAGCATGTGGTAACTCCATTACTAAATCCACCAGAAAGCCAGGTGTGCCAGGACACACTCTTTTAAGTCCCTGAGTGATCTTGAAATAGACACTGTTGCCCATTTGGCCACGGCTCACGGTGACTGCCATGCGGTGGGTGCTGGGAGCCTCTGGCCTTGCACCCCTAGGCCAGCGTCCTTGCGGCTGGGATGGGCCCTGTGCACATGCAGGGATTCACTGGGCTGGCTGGTGCCCCGCGGATATCACAGATGACCAGCTGTAAAGCAGGAGGCGCTTTGGAGGGGAGAACAGGCCACTCTGAGCAATGGTGGTGGAGGTGAGGCATGCAGATGCCTGCAGGTGGCCCACGCCACGTGGCCAAGATGGCCACCTGGGTCTCAGAGGCAGCCTGGCCGGAGTCCCGCCGGACGGTTCCCAGCGTTTCTAGGCCAGGAAGACGGGAAGCTCTGTAACAGCTTTCAGTGTGACACTCCCCTGCTTTTGGCGGCCAGTGAGTCACGGGGACTTGAACTGAGTCACTTCAGCCACCTGCCACCGTGACAGCCGAAGTTCCTGGATTCGGAGGCTCCAGCCGCTGGGCGTGGGGCTGTGGTGGCTGGCCTTGCAGGACATTCTGTTTTTGGCTCTGGCCGGTGGAAATGTTTTCCACGTGTTTTCCCGTGTTTACGGAGCCGAGGGCACGGAATGAAGCCGGGGAAGCCGGCCTGACAGGGCCTGGCCCGGGGGTCTGGCCAGACCAGCTCCTCTGAAGAGGAAACGGAGTGCCAGGTGGGGGCAGGCTGTGGGGACGCCAGGCAGGGGCGGGCTGTGGGGATGCCAGGTGCGGGCAGGCTGTGGGGACGCCAGGTGGGGACAGGCTGTGAGGGCACCCAAGCCCCTGCTGTCTGCTGGAGGGGAAGGGGATGTTGGAGGTGAGTAACCTGCAGTGTGGTGGAGGAGCTCTGTGGTCAGTAGGCTCAGAGTGTGCCGCTGGCTGCCTGGGGCCCCTGGGGAGTGAGTGGTGGCCGGGTGGTGGCTGCCCGCACACTGTGCTTTCTGCTGGCATCATGCCCACCCCGTTTGAGCTTTGTCCCTCTTATGCAGAGCACGAGGCACTGGTTTTCCCCACAGTGGTTCCCCCAGCAGCCTGGGGCCTCCAGCGCTTCCCCAGGGCCCCTGGCTGGTGAGGGCTGAGGCGGCCTGGATGAGGGCTGCTGGATGGTTTGCAGGGGGCTCACTGCCCTGCTGGGAGGTCCTGGCCGAGCTGTCCCTGCTGCTGCCACTGCGCTTCCTGATCCAATTGCTCCTTCAGGCTGGCCACCTGGGGACAGGACAGTGGCTCCAGTCAGAGGGCAGGCGGCACGGCCAGGGCCCCAGGGCACAGCGGCATGGAGGGCTCTGTGACAGGAAGGGCTGGAGGCCACCGCCCACAGCTCCCGAGGAGAGGTGGCACGCATGGGACAGAAACATTAGCGGGACATCAGACTGACTGTCGCTGCCAGAGAGGGACGTGCAGTCCCGCGTCTTACCACGATGGCCATCTGCCCGCCCGTGGAGGGCTCAGGGTCATGGCCACTTTGCAACCCCGGCGGATGGGCTCTCTTCTGTTCCGGCTATGAAAGCACTCAGAACGGGGCAGGGCGCCGGCTCATGCCTGGAATCCCAGCACTTTGGGAGGCTGAGGCAAGCCTCCCAAACTCCCGAGGTCAGGAGCTCAAGACCAGCCTGGCCAACATGGTGAAACCCCATCTTTCACAAAATACACACACGAAAAAACCAGCCAGGTGTGGTGGTGGGCACCATTAATCCCAGATACTCTGCAGGCTGAGGCAGGAGAATCACTTGAACCCAGGAGGTGGAGGTTGCTGTGAGCTGAGATCACGCCACTGCACTCCAGCCCGGGCAGCGGAGCAAGACTCAGTCTCAAAAAAAAAAAAAACAACACACACACACACACACACACACAAAAAAAAAACCAAGCAAGCACTCAGGATGATAAGGAAATAAATGTCCTTTTTCTAACAAATTTAGCAAAAGTGCTTGGTAGTCAGGGACAGTAACTTGGGGACGACACTGGGCAGTCACGTCTCCTCCTGGGCCTCAGCCTCAGCTTCCTCATCTGTAAAATGCCCAGACAGCTCTAAGATCCTGACATTGCTGAGCTCCGAGGCTCCGAGGTTCAGCCTGAGGTCTGCCGCGGGTGCACGTGTGGGTCTGCAGTGCAGTACACACCCGAGCTGGCTATGCTTCCATTACCCATTCACTGCGCCCACCTCATCCCCACGTGCCACGCGTGCCACACCGTCTTTCCTTCGTGACTCTGAAGGACAGGTGCAGGGGCCGCCTCTGCTACGACTGTGCATGCTGGGTGCTGTCGAAGCACCTCACATAGCAAAGCTCAGTCTCCCAGTGAGCCCCGACAGGAGCTGTTCTCCCCACCGCACTTTATAGACAGGACAGTGGAGGCTGGGAGACGGTGGTGACCGGCCCCAGAATCTACACTCCACCTCCCAGTGAGGTGTGGGATAAACCTCATGCCCTCGAGAGCACAGAAGTGTGGGCAGTGCCCAGAGCAGGCCTGGAGCCCACTGACTGGCAGTGGAGAGTCCCTGTTGCTAGAAGATTCAAGCAGTCACCCCTACTGGGATTCCAGTCCTCCACTTCCCTCCCTCTGCCCTCACCTGGGGGGCTGGGGTCCCGACTTTACCTGTCCCTCCAGGACCTCCATCCCATGCTGGTGGGTCCTTCCTTGGGCCTCCAGGGCCCCATGCAGATGCTCTGCCTCTGTGGCCAGCTCCCGCTGGCACTGGGTGTGGGCCTGCTCCAGCTCTGCCATCTGGGCCTGGAGTGACAACTCAGGAATCTCACTGCTGTCTCTCCCCAAGGGCCACACAGAATCCCAGGGCCGGATGCCCCGGGGTGTTCCACCTGCTCTTGTCAGCCCCACTATCCTCTGCCGGGTGCTGGTCTTGGCCGAGACTGCCCAGCTGACGTGGGGTCGGGGGCACACACCCAGCTGACGTGGGGTCGGGGGCACACACCCAGCAGACGTGGGGTTGGGGGCACACACCCAGCAGACGGAGCCTCGAGTTTGGCTTTGGCTCGGCTGGAGACCAAGCCGCAGCCTCCAGGATGGGCTTAAAATCTGTTTTCATGGCATCCCAGGTTCCCTTTGGCTGGGCTGGGTGTCCTGAGGGCACTGGAGTTTCATTCTTGTCCATCCTGCCCCATTTCCTGCTGGTTTCTGAGGATGGGGGTATGTCCAGTGTGGAGAGGGAGAATGAAGCCCCTGAGGCCTCTTCTGTGGGTGTCAGGCCCCTAGGCCTCAGGGGATTTCTCCCCAACACAAGCAGGTGGTGGCCTCCAGCCCTGCCCCAGAGGCCTCTCTCACCTCCCTTGTCTGGCCCTTGTGCTGCTCTACAGAGCCCAGGCTGGGCTCCCACCGGGACTTCAGTGTCTCTGGAAGGGCAGGAGCCTTGGGTCCTGGTTCCGGCTCCATCACGTGCAGAAGATGGTCCAGCCACCCTCCCCCTATGTGTGCACGTATGAGACAGAGGTGCACCAGCCACCTGTCTGGATCTGACACCCTCCTGGATCCCACCCCAGGTCTGCCCCCAGGGCTGAGGTACGCAGAGCTCCACTGGCCCAGCTGACCTGCAGCTGCTGATGCTGCCTCAGGGCTCCGTCCACCTCCTGGTGCAGGCTGTTCAGAGACTGGACCAGCTGCTCCTTCTCAGCCCCCAACCTCACCACATCCTCCTCCCTCTTCAGCATCTCCTGCCCTGTCTGCAGAGAGCCCGGGAGGCAGAACCTGTGGCCTCCTGGCAGGGAATGAGGTCAGGCCAGCCCTCCTCTGGGAGCACAGGGTAACTTTTGGAAGGACTCTGAATTCCCCTAAGAGCTGGCAGGGTTAGGAAGGGCCAGGACCTTCCCTGGGCCAGGACCCCCGGCCTCACCCAGGTCTATCTGACATCTGCAGCCAGAGCGACACATTAAGGAGGAGCATGGGGCCAAGTCCCCATCCAGCTACGGACCAGCAGAGGTCCCCACCAACGTCCTCAATGGGGCACTGTCTACATCTCTTAAGGTGACATCTGAGGATCTACCCTGAAAACCTCTTCTCAGTGATCCTTCAGGCCTCATGAGCCATGATCCCTGAACCGTCTGGCACCTGCCTTCTGCGACTGGCACTCGGGATCTGCTGAGCTCGTACAGGCACAGGCCCTGAGAACCAGGCACACTCACTGCCTCAGTCCCAGCAAGCCTGTGGCACTGGCATCGCCCTCCCCCGGTCCGTCCTCCTTGCAGGCTGCAGGCTGCCCCAGTGAGCCCCCTCCTTAGTCACCCACTCCCCACCCCATGGGTACAGGTCAGGAGGGAGAAGCTGCAGGCTAAATATCAGGGAAGGTTACCCAGGAAACAGGCATTTTCTATGGGGAAGTTGGCAGGAAGTTTTGTTCCCTGGCGAGTGGGCTCTCTGGAGGAAGGATTGAATCTAAGAGTTCTCGCTTACAGAGAGCAGCCCTGGAAGGGGGACAGTGTCCACCCCACCAGCCCCAGGCAGCCTGCTTCCAGCCCCCCAGACAGCCTACGGCATGTCTCATGGGTGGCTGGTGTGGATGGGATGCCATGATGTCACAGGCCCATTGGGCCAGCCAGGGGCTGAGGCAGGCTTGGAATCCAGGCCTGGCTCTCCATAGCAGGCTGCCTCCAGTCTTGGCCCCCAGGTCCTGCCTGCTGCCGCTGTGTCCTGGAGTGACAGGCCAGTCCTTTGTCGGCCCCACTGCCCTCTGTCGGGTGCTGGCTTGGCCCAGGATTGGGCAGCAGACCAGGGGCTCAGGGCACACGCTTAGCACACCACAAACCTGCCCTCTTGGCTTCGGGGCTGGGGCAGGCCTGGTTCCGGGCCCTGAGACAGAGGGGATAATTTGCCTGGGTAAAGTTAGTTACGGGGTCAGTGGTTGGAACTTTACGAAAAATAAGGGTTCCTTTCTTCTTCAGGGTTGAGAAAAACAGAGTCCCCCTGCACTGAAAAAGGAAGTCCTGTTTCTTTAAAAATCCAGTCACACTCCTGGAAGTGCATGTTATAAAGAAGAGAAAAGTGAAATCCAAAATCAATAAACGGCTGCATCCGGGTTTCCCCTCCGGAGACACCAATAAAGGGTTTATGGGTTTGTGGGTCCCTCACAGCTGACCTCCTGGAACTCATTAGCTGTTCCTTCTCTCCCCCTCCTTGGGCTCCAGGGACTCATGGTGGGCACTGTGCCCACAGCTGGCTCTGCGTCCTGGGCAGTGCTGTCACAACCAGGGCTGATGCATGCCCCCTGCTCCCCAACCCCCAGCAGCGTCCACAGGAGGCTCCAACACTCCTGGTTGGAGGTTTCGTGGCTCACGGCTGGGCCCTTTGGGAACAGCAGCAGGGGCTGGTGACTGGACCGCATTGGCTGGCCCTCTGTGGACAAGCTGGCCAGTGGCTTTTGTCACTGTCCTGTCCCCTGGGCAGGCTGGGCTGCAGGGCCTTGTGCAGGTGGCCGTGAGGCCATGGGAAGGGCTGCCTGCTCTGGGGTCCACCTGAGGCCTCAGAATCTGGCTTCTGCACTTCATAGATGGGACACTGACCTGCAGGGCCCAGCCCAGGAGATGCCATCCTCCCCTCCCCCATCCCGAGTGCCCATCTTCCTTCTGATGCCTCCTCTGGAGCCCTTCCCACTCTGGGCCCCTGCCTACTCCTGGATGGGGGCTGTGAGGGCATGAGGATCCTGGGCCCACAGCTGGTGCAGCCCGCTCTGTAGGTCCACGTGCCCACTCACTCTGCCCTCACCTGCCAGGTGGGGACCTGACTGCACCCGGCACCTGCTGTGGGGGCAGCGAGCCCCCCAGTGTGAGTGCCTGGGTGTGTGTGGAGTGCTCACAGAGGACAACAGGGCTGCCTCTCAGGTGATGGGGAAGGGTGCTGAACACAGCAGGTGCCAGCTTGGTGGGGTGGGGCTCCGAGGAGCTCTGCCTGGCTCCATTTCCTCTTCCTAGGGCTGTGTTTTCCCATCAGTCCAGCTGGCGCTGTGCACCCCTCATCTTCCCCCAGATGGCTCTGCTCCGTCTGAGTTCATGTGTGGGAGCCGGGTCCACGTGCACAGGGGCTGAGCTCAGTGGCCAGGATCACCGGATCACTCACCTGCCAGCAGAGCACCTCCGCCTGGCCTCACCTCTGCGGCCCACCCCTGGACACTGGGTCTACGTTTGTCTGACCTTCGGATCGGAAACCCTATCCTGCACCCTGACCTGCGTTGGGGGTGTGTGACAAGGCTGGGTGATGGCTGTCACTTCACCCCTTGACCGCTGATCTCCTGTCTCTCACTCTGTCTTTGGGGGCCCTACCCGGGAGCTCACTGGCCACTGTCTCGGCTTTGAGCTTTGGGGGGTTGGTGTTGGGCACCTCCACAGGCTGACCTGCCTGTTGCCCCAGCCACAGGGCACCCCGTCTCCGCCCCGAGCAGAGGCCTCTGGGGCCCAAGGGTGTGAGGTGTGTCAGGCCACTCGGCTTCCAGCGACACTGGAGACAAAGCCAGGGATTTGCCCCGACCCACGGTGCCTCCCCAGGGAGAGCCACGGCAGGCACACACGACACCACTGGCAGGGCTGTGGCTACCTGCAGGCGTCCTAACCCTGAGCTCAGGGCCACCCTGCTGGCAGTGAGGACACAGAAGCCTGCATGGGCCAGCGCCTCGCCCAGCTGCGCCGTGCAGACCCCACCAGGAGCTCCCTGCTCCTCTCCGAGGACCACCCGCCCCGCCCTCGGGCCGCTGCCGCCTACCTGTGTGAGCTGAGCCCGCGGTGCTGCCGTCTGCTCCTTCAGGGCGCACCTCTCCCGGTGCGCTTCAGCAGCCTCCTGCTGGCCACTGCGCTGAGGCTGCCAGAGCACCTGGGCGGAGGATGCTGGGGGTGGGCCAGGGGTTGGGAGGGCCCGAGTTTCTGAGAGTGGGTTGTTCCATCTAAGGCTGGCCCTGGCCTTAGCCTATTTTCTCCTAAACGGCATGTCCACAGCTGACTCCTACTGTGTGGCAAGAAATCCAGCCGCCTGACTCCGCATGGGCCCCTCCAGCCTCAGTTTCCCCAGCTGTCACCGGGGGACTGGATGGTGCCTGGGTCTCTGCAGGCCTGCACAGCTGCCTTCAGTATCTCTCTAGGCCTCCCTTCATGCTGAGGGGCTGATTCTGCAAAGGACCACCGGCCTCTTTCCTGTAGGCCTGTTCACTGCCTCCTGGTGACAGTGTACCCCGCCCTCCTGAGGCCCTCACCTGTCGCCGGGGCTCCAGTGATTCCTCGGCCTCCTGGCACCTGTGCTCCAAGCTGGTGAACTGCTCCTCCAGCAGCTTCCTCTTGGCCAGGCCTTGGCTGTGCCTCCTGCTCTCGTCAAGGGCCTGGCGCAGTGCATCCAGTTGCTCCTGGGGGAGGGAGACACGGGGCCCACCTGGAGACACCGGGTGTGTGGGGCCTGCAGGGAAACCTTACCTCAGGGCATCTGCCTAGACCGTCCCACAGGCCCATGTAGCTGGGATGAAAACAGCAAGAACTCGGTTAAGGACACGGTGAAAGGCATTGATCAGTGGTTGTGTCTGCAATGTGACGTCAAGGTGTGGACTCTCAGGAAGCCTGAGACAAAAGTCGGGGGGGCTCTGGCCCAGTGTGGGCAAAGGCTTGGGCTTGGCAGGTTCTCTGCTGTAACCGGTGGTCTCAGAGGGCACATCAGTGGCATCGTTGCCCTGCCTCCAGCCTTGGTGGCTCCCACTGCCCTTGGGATAAAGCCTGAGGTGACCCTCTCCCAGGCTCCTGGAGCCTGTTCAGCTCAGGCCCTGCTTGCCCCTTCTGCCATCACACTGTGTTCTCCTGCCTCAGCTCCCACCTGGGGACTTGGCTAGTCCCAAACTGAGCCCAGGAGCTCTGGAGTCCGGGAAGCTGGCATCGCCCATAATCCCCGCTGTGTTCCTCACCCCTGCACCCTCCTCTCAGCCCCTCTGCCTGCAGCCTGTCTAAACCACCTCCATCCACTCGGGACCAGTGACTGTCCTTCAGTTTCCTCTCTGTCCTCAGGCGCAGCCCAGGACAGCCTGAGGGCGCATTCACCTGAGTATCATCGGCCATGCCACTGCCTTGCTCTGGGGCTGTGGTGCTCCCAGCTGCCCCCGGGACGTGGACCTGGGACCTCACCACCATGCCAACCTCTTACACCTGCTGCCCTCTGCCCACAGCCTCCCCGCCTGGTGCCCCCACCCTATGGGGCCGCCTTCTCCTCCTGCTTGCAGGAATCTCAGCTCCCTGCCAGCCCAGGAGGGAGGATGTCACTGGTCGTGCCCCCTGAGCCCCAGAGCTGGCAGCTGTTGGGGCTTGAGCACCCCCAGATGTGTGAGGGAGCCTGTGAGGCATCGTCATTGGAAGCTTCTGGACTGCACGTTGGCCTGGTAAGGCCTTGGTGGGTCCCCAGCCCTTGCATCTTCCCAGGGTTTTGCAGAGAAATGGCCAGCTCCTTCTGAGGTGGCCACACTTTGAAAACACTGTTTTTTTTGGTCTGACGCTTTGTTACTTTAAAAAGGGAGAAGAAGGAAGACAATGCTTGCACCTAACATTGCGATGCTTCACCCTTCTGTGCAGTTTTGAAAATTATAGTTTTCTGTACAGTTTTCCAGTAGAAAAGCAGAAGTTTCCTTCAATATGGCTTAAGTATTTCATGGCAGTTTTGAGAGGTCCCAAACCTCTTGTAAGGACTCAGCTTTTATGGAATTTGAATGAACCGTAACAATTGAACGGTTCTCCTTTAATTCATAGCCGCAGGCAGTCCCAGCGAGTTGCTCTGATCTCTCCTGTCCTTTCAGCTCTAAATCCTGATGCTGTGTGAGAGGCAGGCTGGCAAAACCAACCTTGAAAACACGGGTTCAGCCTGACGGTTTAAGCAGCTGCAGGAAGGAACCGCAGCCCTTCTCACCCAGAGCTGAGTGGAGCTGAGTGCTCAGCGAGTCCGGGCTCCGGCGGCTCCCACCCCAGTGCCCAAGGAGGGGAGAGCCTGGGCTTGGAGCCAGAACGTGGGGCTCCAGTGTCAGTTTCCCCATCTGTGGCATGGGTATGGTGCAGTCTCACGGGGTCTCGCTGGGACAAAAAGAAGGCTGGGGCCGGGCGCAGTGGCTCATGCCTGTGATCCCAGCACTTTGGGAGGCCGAGGTGGGCGGATCACCTGAGGTCAGGAGTTTGAGACCAGCCTGGCCAACATGGTGAAACCCTGTTTCTACTTAAAATACAAAAAATTAGCCGGCCGTGATGGCGCACGCCTGTAATCCCAGCTACTTGGGAGGCGGAGGCAGGAGTCGCTTGAACCTGGGAGGCAGAGGTTGCGGTGAGCTGAGACTGCACCACTGCACTCCGGCCTGGGCAACCAGAGTGAAACTCCATCTCAAAAAAAAAGAAAAGAAGAAGACAAAGAAGGCTGGGAGCATGCTGTGGACTCTGGGAGGCCCCCGGGGAGACTGTAACGAATGAAGGGCTTGCATGGAAGGCTGGGCGTGAAGGCTGGGAAATATCTGCACGTGAGCAGAAGGGACAAAGCTCTCATGAAGTGTCCTGCCGGCTGCACAGAGCAGGGCGGAGCCTGCCACCAACACCCTCCAAAGCCGTCCTTCGTGCTCTTGGAACTGGGGTCCTCAGCCTGATACCTGTTTATCCACCGGGCGACGTTGGGCCCATTCGGTTATCCACTGGCAGGTCCCCTGGAGTCCCTGCACCGGCGAGCTGCCAATCCTGCCCTCAGGCCAGTCACTGGGCGAATGAGCTCTGGACAGTCCTCAGATATGAGGGGGTCGGAGCCCTTCTTGCCACACAGTGGGACGCTGGGGCCAGACCGAGGGCAGGGTCTGTGCCAGTTTGTGGCGGCAAGGCCCCCTCTCGGCTCAGGCCTGCCCGCTGCCTGCCTGTCCTGCCAGCCCCTCCTGCTTGGACCCTACCGGCTTTAGAGCCTGTTGTACTATTCATTTTCAAAATATTCTTGGAAAATCGTAAAAGTCTGCCCTTTCCCGTAAAGTTTGCAGTCAGCTTGTCCAGTATTCCTCTAAACACAACAGAAACAAATAGACAAAACCAAACCATCAACCAGCAGACAACTGACAAAGCAGGAGCACGAACGAAGACCCGCCCAGAAGCCGGTCACCCCCCAAAGCCACAACAACCAGCAGACAAGTGACAGAGCAGGAGCACGAATGAAGACCCGCCCAGAAGCCGGTCACCCCCCAAAGCCACAGCCTCGCCAGGGAGGCGACGTGAGCAACAGCAGCGGCAGAAACGCACACTCATGCATTCAAATAACCCTCACACTCAAGAAGAAATGAAGACGGAAACCTCTAGAAAACTGGTAAAAAGGGAACGAACTCACATCAAAAGATGCTGCAGCACATCCCAAACCACAATTAGGGAAAATGGGATCATTGAAACGCTCCTGCTGTGAGAAGGGAAAGCCCCCCCCCACACACACATTATGTATTCCTTTCAAGAAACTGGAAAAATTACAACGAAAAAGATTTAAAAAGAGAGTACTGGCTGGGCGTGGTGGCTCACACCTGTAATCCTGGCACTTTGGGAGGCCAAGGTAGGTGCATCCCGTGAGCTCAGGAGTTTGCGACCAGCCTGGGCAACATGGTTTAACACCATTTCTACAAGAAGTACAAAAGTTAGCCAGACGCAGTGGCATGTGCCTGTAGTACCAGCCACTGAAGAGGCTGAGGTGGGAGGACCGCTGGAGCCCAGGAGGTGGAGGCTGCAGTGAGCCGGAATCACGCCATTGCACTCCAGCCTGGCAGACAGGGCCAGACCCTCAAAGGAATAAATAAAATAAAAAATAAGCTAAGACTAAAAATAGAGTGTTAATAGAAATAAAAGCTGAAATCAGTAAACTAGACAAAAATGAAATGAGATCAATTGATTCTCTGAAAACAGGAATAAAACATGAACTGTTGGCAAGTCAGATGAAGGGAGAGAAACGAGCCTCCAACACGAAGGACAGAAACAGATGAAACTCCGCATGTAAATGAGGCACGACTACGCACGGAGAGCAGGTGTGCCTGCCGGGAAGACACGTGTTACGGGGGTGATGCCAGGGTCCTTGGCAATGCACCGGACGTGTGAGATGAGTGACGCTCCCACAGGGCAGAACTGACCCGAGAAGAAATGGAAAACAAAAACAGACCTTTGACAGAAAAGAGACGGAAAGGGAATGAAAGTGCACTCTTTACCACGACAGGAGCTGCTGAGCAGGTACCGGGAGGGTCAATGAACCTTTCAAGAAAAGTGATTTTGAGCATTCCAGGTGGTAGAAAATACGGAAAGCCCACCAATTCATTTTATAAAATAATCGAATTTTCTTAACACAAATAACTTTGAAAAGTATGTCACCAAAAAGGAATTATAGATGCAAAAATTCTTGACAAAGCACTGAGAATAATCAGTTCCGACCGTGGCTCAGTGTCCGCCTGCCGGCCCCTGGCTGCTCTGCTGGCTTTGTGTATGTGTGTACCCTGGAAACTTCTAGAACCTGTGAATGATGCTGAGTTTGGCCCCCACAGGCAGGTGAACTGCAGGGCTGGCACTGGGGACGTGGGAGCTGGTGGGGTGGATGTGGCACGTGGGCACAGTGGGGGAAGGAGGCCTGGGCAAGAGTCCAAGGATGCCATGAGCTCTCCTGAGCTGTGACCGGGTGCCAATCCGAGGGTGGCAGGGGGCCTTTCTGAGCAGGCATGGGGCTGTGGGTGACACTGGGCGAGTGCCAGGCCTCCCACCTGCTTGGCGGCCTGGCCAGCTGCTTGGGCACTGCTGCTGCATTCAATGCATGTCCTGGCGCCGTGGGCTGGCCCTGCACGGCTGTTCTATCGAATTCCCAGGGTAGCCTTGGAAACGGGGAGGGATGTGCTTTCAAACAGAATCTTACTGTTTGCATAGCACAGCCTACCATTTAATTAGAAAAATACGTTTTTAATTAACTTTCTCTTGACAAACACATTGGCTTATGTGAAACGGGGGAAAAAATCGACCCATGAAAGTGAGAGAAGTGTGTCAAATGCAGAGTCGGCTCTAGACTGTGCCTGGGGCTTCGGCAGAGCCAGGAGAGGCGCCAGGCCTGCCCCGAGGGACCCCCGGCTCGGCAAGGGCGCGGGGCAGCAGGGAGCGTGGCTGTCTTCCCAGCTCCCTGGCCGGCTAGAAACATTTCAACCCTGAGCTCTCCGCCTGGCTTTGCCAAGTGTCAAAAGCGGGGCCTCTGGTGAGGTGGCGACTTAGGTGTGTCTGAATCCAGACACCCACCACAATGACCAATAGATTACAAAACGTTGGCAAAAACTTCTTCTCAGAGCTGGAGACCAGGGACTTGGAGGGCTCCTGAGGGCAGATGAAACCAGCTTGGCCTAAAAAAAGGTGAGATGGTCACAGCCAGAATTATAAGAAAACACTGACACCGTAATGATAGAGTTTAGCACATATCACTGAAATACTTGAGCCAATTCTAGACTGAGCAGAAAAGTGCATATGGACTAGGATCTGATAAATATCAGAGGCATCCTCTGCACTCACGTGTGGAGACCTGAAGTGGAACTCCCCATACCCTGGCTCAGAATGGGGAGGGCTGCAGGGAGCTACAGGGGACCACGTCAGGGAAGAGGGTTGCTGTGGCTGGGGGGCCCAGGGAGCCCTCCGTCCCTGCCAGGCAAGCAGCTGAGGAGGTAAGGATGCCACCACGACCCTGCACCAGAGAGCACCCCCACTGCCCCCCGACACTTCAGCACCAGAGAGCACCCCCACTGCACCCCTGACACTTCAGCACCAGAGAGCACCCCCACTGCCCCCCGACACTTCAGCACCAGAGCACCCCCACTGCCCCAGAGAGCACCCCCACTGCCCCAGAGAGCACCCCCACTGCCCCCCGACACTTCAGCACCAGAGAGCACCCCCACTGCCCCCTGACACTTCAGCACCAGAGAGCAACCCCACTGCCCCCCGACACTTCAGCACCAGAGAGCACCCCCACTGCCCCAGAGAGCACCCCCACTTCCCCCCGACACTTCAGCACCAGAGCACCCCCACTGCCCCAGAGAGCACCCCCACTGCCCCCAGACACTTCAGCACCAGAGAGCACCCCCACTGCCTCAGAGAGCACCCCCATTGCCCCCCGACACTTCAGCACCAGAGAGCACCCCCACTGCCCCCTGCACACTTCAGCACCAGAGAGCACCCCCACTGCCCCAGAGAGCACCCCCACTGCCCCCTGAATACTTCAGCACCAGAGAGCACCCCCACTGCCCCCCCCACACACACTTCAGGAAAAGAGCAGCTCTGGGAGGGCTGGAATGCCACTGCTGGCTCCCCACACGCCCCCACAGCTCCCTGTGGCTGCGGGATCTTGGAACCCTTCTCTCTGCCTTTCCTTTGAGCCTGAGATATGTGGCTGGGGACACATAAGTCCCTAATGGGCCCCTCTCCACTCCCAGCTTCGGACAAGGCCAGGACTCCCTTCTTCAAAGACACGCAAAGGAAAAACCATCACAAAAGTAGCATCCACTGTGGTTCCAGAAAATAAAGTTGATCCGAGGAATCGGATTCGAGAGTCTCTAGGGAAACAGAGAAGCCACTGACACGCATCAGAAGACGGTAACTGGCGTTCCCCGGGCGAGGCTGGGGCAGGCGGCTCGAGGGGCACAGCCTGAGGTGAAAACTCCGGCCGTCCAGGCCGCCCTGAGGGCAGCAGCAGAGGCGATGAGGCAGGTGTGAGACGTGAAATTCTCCTAGGACTTGGGGAGATGGAGATGAGGAGACATTCAAGTCTGAAGCCAGGAGGACAGGCCCAGGGGTCAGGGACGGGGCGCTGAGGGTTCCAGGTGGAGGGAGAAGGAGAGTTTTTTTTTTTTTAACAGTGGGAGGAAACTCTATAAACAGAAGGTAGATTTCCTTCTGCAAGTGGGGAGGGGTTCCTGGGTAGGTAAAAACACTGAGAGGGGCCGACACGCCCATATTTTTGTGACATTTTTGAATTTCAAAGACACGGAGGCGTCGGGCTGCCACTCTGGAAAGAGCGCTGACAAGAAAAACCCAAAGAGCCTGGAGACTCTGCACAGTTCTGAAACCCTCTGAGGGGCCCAGACTGATGAAACCAGGCCCCTCCAGGAGAGACGCCGTGGGTGGCCCCACCCAGCAGCCAGTGGCACGGAGTTCACTGAAGCTGGTAGCACATTGCTGGGACCCACGTGGCAGGTGGGGCCCTCGGAGGCCCTGTGAGCTCCCATCCCGACGCTCACCTGTGACTATGTCGCGTTCATGGCCAGGGGACTCTGGATGCAAGTTGGCTGACTCTAAGGAAAGGGTGACCACCCACGCAGGCCGCAGGTGTCCGCAGAAGGGAGCAAGAGGTGTGAGGCACATGGAGACACGGGGCGAACGCCCTGCCGCTGCGCTGTGGTGCCGTTGAGAAAGCCCCTGGCTGGGAGTGGGGGGCCCTTGGCCGACAGCCTGGAAATGAGGCTCAGCCGGATCATGCAAGGAGCTGAACCCGCCACACGGGATGAGCCTAGATGCCTCGGGAAGCACCGTGCCAGGCTTCTCACCTACAGGGCCGGGCGCTCAAAAGTGGGGTTGTTTTAAGTCATCAGCAATTTGTTGCAAAAAATAGCAACATTTGATATCTGTGGACCCCCCCCTCAGATATCAAATGTTGCTATCAAAACAGGTGTGGGCTGCTGTGGGTAGAGAGCCCGGAGGTCCACAGATATCAAGAGAAGTCCCACTCACAGGCAGGAGAGCCAGAGCCCCGGGCAGGCTGCAATTGGAGAGTGTCCAAAGGAGGAAGTTCTAAGGGACAGAAGTCTCAGCTCCGAGGGCGCAGGTGGAAGCACTGCAGTCAGGTGGGGGGGTGGGGGCGGGAGACAACACCCTTGGCCGAGTGCGCAGGTGGAAGCACTGCAGTCGGGTGGGGGGGTGGGGGCAGGAGACAACACCCTTGGCTGAGGGCGCAGGTGGAAGCACTGCAGTCGGGTGGGGGGGTGGGGGCGGGAGACAACACCCTTGGCCTTGGAGGGTGCAGGGCGGTGTCCTAGCCCAGCCCTAAGAGGCCCTGGATGCAAAGGCTAAGGGAAAAGGCACGAATGAGTCACCCCTGCCGTGCAAGACAGGACCAGCAGGAAAGACATGCAGAAAGGAGGAAACGTCCTATCAGCAACCTAAGGAAAAACAGAGCCTGCGTTACCACAAATCTTCTACGTGGCACAAATTCCCCCAGAAAAGGCAAAGACTCTAAGGTGGGATTGAAGCCAAAGCCAGGCTGAAAACGCAAACAGCAAAAAGGCACAGGCCGAGAGGAGGACAAACAGCAGCCATGGGATGTGCAGGCCACGTGGGAAGAGTCCACGGAGAAACCTCACATTCGAAGAGAGTCAGATACCCTTGGAAATAAAAGGAGACACTGACAAAAAGAATTGCAGTCAGAAAATTCAACACATCATCCTCAGCTTTCATAAACTCAGGAACTAGATCAAATGTGGCCTATCTGAAGAATGCATTTGTAAAGGTTGATTTAAAAGGTCTATTTCAGGGTCAGGCAGGGTGGCTCATGCCTGTAATCCCAGCACTTTGGGAGGCTGAGGCGAGCAGATCATTTGAGGTCAGGAGTTTGAGACCAGCCTGGCCAACATGGTGAAACCCCGTCTGTACTAAAAATACAAAACGTTAACCGGGTGTGATGACGTGCACCTGTAGTCCCAGCTAGTCAGGAGGCTGAGGCAGGGAATTGCTTGAACCCAGGAGGCAGAGGCTGCAGTGAGCCAAGATCATGCCACTGCACTTCACCTGGGCGATAGAGTGAGACTGTGTCTCAAAAAATTAAATAAAATAAAGAGACAACTGTTTCAAAGTGTGTAACCTGTGAACACAGAGCACCTGTTCTGAACGCCTGTGGGCGGCACACGTGGCTACACCTATAAAGGAAGCGTGGTTCAGCTCAGCTTCCCCGCCTCCTGGGCATCTCGAAAGTCTGACCCCATCCCTGGCCAGGCCGCCTGGGCCTTCCACAGATCTCTCAAGTCCTACCGCCCCAGCAGCTGCCACTGGAGACAGGAATTTCCAGGCTCCTGGCTGATTAGGAACCTGCCGTCTCTGCAGCGTGGCCGCTGCTCTCTGCCCCCTCCCCTCTTCCCTGCAGGAGCCACGTCCTCAGAGGTTCAAGGCCTCCTAGGGACCCAGTGCCTGCCTGCTGGCCTGAGTGCTGACAGCCCTTTGGTGGCCTCTGAGGGCCACCAGGCTCCCAGGCTGAGCCCCACGGGGAGCAGCACAGGCCTGCTGGGGAAGGTGACCATGGGTGGCTTCTGCACTTGACCTCTGTGCCAACCTGCAGGGCTGTCCCTCCTGACAGCACATCCAGGCTTCCCTCGTGGGAGGGACGCTTGCAGAGGAGTGGCTCCTAGACCTCTGTGCTCAGTCCCCTCTGCGCTGTGCTGGCTCCCTCTTCCCAGAATAGGTTGGGGGATGCCTGGGGCGGTTACCCTGGGGAGCCTCAGTGGGGCACGCTCTTCTCTGGCCGCTGGGGCCTGCGAGGGAACACTCGGGAAAGGCTGGGTTGTCCTCTGGCCTAGTCCTGACAAGAGGATCTCAGGACATGCTGGGGCTACTTGGACCTGTGGGCTGGGCTGGACTGGGCCCATGCTCCCCACCAGCTCCATCCACCGGCCTGGCTGTTCCCTTTCCAGGCACACCTCAGACCCAGTGGCCACCTCCCCAACAAAAAGCCTGGTGCACAGGGGTGCTGACCTCAGCCCTTTCTGTGCCTGAGTGACATGGAGTGAAAAGTGGTCTTGGAGCAGCACGGTGACCCTGTAAAGAGCCCCAAGGCTGGGCCAGGGCCGCCCCTATGCCTGCCAGTGTGGCCTCATGAGAAAGAAGGGCCTAGACTTGGGGCTCTGCCCCCCACTTGCTGTGCCCCCAGGACCAAGTCCTCGGTTTCCCCAATCTGTAACACAAGGGCTAGAACTACCCTAAAGACAGCTCTGCTAGGGACAGGTCCAATCCTGATGGCCCCAGCCTGCACCTGTGCCCAGGGCCCCGCCTAGCTGGCCACTGGCCCCAGCTCTGAACACCCACAGAAGCCCTTGCAAACCCCTTTCACCCCCTCCCGGCCCTATGGCCTCCCTGCAGGGTGTGAGGGTGTCTGAGACGCCTTGTTCTCACGCCCCACCTGCCCCCCCACCCCCGCCTGCCCCCTCACATGCCCCCCCCACCACCTCCCCACCTGCAGCCGTCGCTTCTCCCGGCCTGCCGCACGCACGCTCGCCAGGTGCTCCGTCTCCAGCCTGCCCAGCGCCTCCTTCTGCAGGGCTCTCGCTGCCCGAGCACTGCCCAGCACACCCTCCACCCGGCGCCGGTCTGTGGGGCAAGCAGGGTGGCTCGAGGGGCTCCCACGCCCCTCCCAGGTCACAGGCAGGCAACTTGGAAGGCTTGAGTGACTGGCACCCAGGTGGGGCAGGGTGTCCTCGAAGCTCAAGGGTCCTGGACTGGCCCGGGGTCCCAGCTTCCTGCATCTGGACTCTGACCTCCTCCTTGCTCATCCTTCCCTCCTGCCTCTTGCCTCTTTCATTTTTTTTTTTTTTTTTTAAAGAGAGAGGGTTTCGCCATGTTGGTCAGGCTGGTCTTGAACTCCCGACCTCAGGTGATCCACCCACCTTGGCCTCCCAAAGTGCTGGGATTACAGGCGTGAGCCACCGCCCCTGGCTGCCTCTTTCCTATAACCGAGGGGGCAGTAAGTGGAGAAACTCGTGTGTGAGATGCAGTCAGGGGCAGTGGGGAGGGACCTCTCTGAGGGGGTGGCAAGGGGCAGGGCCTGCATGGGGAGAGCCATGTGGCTACCTGGGGTAGAGGGTGCCAGGAAGAGGGCACGGCCCAGGCAAAGGCCCCTGGTGTGAACTGCAGGAGGCCAGGGTGGGGCAGGGGCTGCCGAGGACACGGGCATGACCAGGAGGGCCTTGAGGGGCCTGTGGATGCCATTCCTCTGTGCTGGGGCTGAGAAAGCTCTGATGCCAAATGCAGGCCCCGCCTCCCCAGGCCTGGTGGCTTGGGTGTTGCCCTGGGCCCCCTTCCCTCCAAGCTGCCATAGGGACCAAAAGCTTACAACTGGCAGCAGTGGGGACATTGTGGTTCCACCCTCACAGCCACTCCCAGGGTGGGTGGGGTGGGGAAGGGAGGTCACCTTCATGGGCCTCGGCCAGGGCTTTCTGTAGCTGCCCTACATGACTCTGGGCCCGGGCACACCTGCACTCTGCCTCACTCAGCCGGCTGCTCAAGGTCGCCACCTGGATTCGTGAGTCGTCCTGGGAGGAAGGACTGAGGTCAGTGGGGGTGGCCCAGCGGGCGGGTGGAGGGCCGAGGTGTCTGCTAGAGGGTGGGTGCCAGCCTGGCCTAGCCTGAGCGTGTGCAGGGCAGGGCAGTAGGTGGGGTGGCAGTGGGCTCGGGCAAGGTGGCCACACTGGGAAGCTGAACTGACCTGCAGGCCTGGGGAGGGGAGGGGTCCAGTGGGGCTGGGCCTGCAGGGTCCAGGTTTCAGGTACATGTGTGGTGTGGAGAGCTGGCAGGTGGTGGCCCACGGCTTGTGGTCAGGGGGACTGGCAGGGGCTGCCCCTGCAGCTCTTGGGGCTGAGTGCAGATGGGACCCTGCTTCCTGGGGCTGGCAGAGGTGGGAGCGGGTGTGCCAGGGCTCAGGGCCTGCCTCTGTCTTTCCCACAGCCCTGCCTGTGGGAGTCCCCTGCCCATCGTCACCCAGCGAGCTGGGAGGGGGCTGCTCATGGGTGGTTCTGTGGGAGCCCTGAAGCCAGGAGCAGCCACTGGGGAACTTGGGCCCACAGGAGGGGACGTTGGGAGCACTAAGGGGAGCTTGCTGGCCCTGTCCTGCAGTTGCTCAGCCCCAGGCAGCTCTTCAGGGGATGGCACGAATCGCAGAATGCCCTGGCCTGGGCCCTGGTGGGTGTCGCAGCAGGGCCTGGCTCCAGGGGCTTTTCAGCCTGGTCTGAGGAAGCGGGTGGCCTGCAGCCACCCGAGGCACTTGGGTTTGGGGGCCACGGTGGTACCAGCGTTTATCACAACAAACAGGACAGCCTGGACCTTGAGACCCAGGAACGTGTGGATGGGTGGACACCAGGTCTGAGGTGCTCTTCCCAGAGAACCCCGTCATGCTGCTGTGGGTGGGAGGGCCCCAGCCCCCGTTACCCGCTCCCTCTGGGCTTCCCGGAGCTTCTGCACAAAGTCCCGTAGGATGTCCTTCACAGTGTCCACGTCCAGTATCTCTGAGCCGCGGCCTCTGGGAGTGGGCGAGGGCCGTGGGAGGGGTGAGTGGGGCCTGGCTTGGGCACTGGCACCCTCTTGCCCAGGGAGATCCTGGGAGCCATTGGAGCCTGCGGGAGGGGACAGCGAGGGGTCGTAGACGGCGACACAGTGGCAGATGCATGCTTGTCCCCCTTCCTCTCTGCTGCTCCAACCATGGGAGCTTGGGGAGCTGGCCGCAGGCCCCTTCCATTGCTTATCTGAGTCCCTTGCTTATCTAGCTGTGAGGCCTGATAGAGGGGTGTCAGGCCAGGGACTGAGCCAGGACAGGGGCCTGCCTGCCGCCACTGAGGACTCTGACCTTGGGTGGGGGAATGGGGCTGCTCCGGGGAGGCCCATGGGCTCTGTCCCCGGAGCCCCAGGCCACGGCGGAGTGTGGAGCAGAGCCGGGCCAGCTGGGCCTCGGCCTCCTGCCTCGCATGCTGGGCCTGGGTCTGCTCCCGCTCCAGGCTGTGGATTTGGTGACAGGTCTGGTCCAGGCGAGCCTGGAGAGCGTCGGCCACAGCGCTGGCTTCCTGCAGCTTCCTGGTGACGCTGTGCAGCTCTGCCCGGAGGGTCTGCTCTGCCCCCCGGCTGTCACGGAGGTGCTCCTGGAGCCGCTGTCCGCGGGCTTCCCCTTCGGCCTCCACCTCGGCCAACTTCCGCTGCAGCCCCAGGACCTGTAGGAGGGACATTGGGGGGAGCGCCCATGGGAGACGGTGAGGAAGTGGGTGGGCCTGGGCCTCCCTCTACTCCCCCAGCCCAGCATCTTCCCTTCGGAGCACTGGCGGCCCTCCCACCTCCTTCCGGGCACCCTCGCGCCTGGCCTCCGCCTCAGCCGCCTGCCTCCGCAGCTCCAGCACCTCCTGCCAGCATCGCCCCTGCAGCTCCCGGGCCTCTCCACGCCTCCTCTGGTTCTCAGCCGTCAGCGTCCTCACCTGGGAGCATGGGGCCGCACTGATGGGGTCACTGCTCTCGGTGCCCAGGCAGCCTCCTGCCTCCTACCTCCACTCACACATTCCTGAGGGCAGCTGGCCACACTCAGGGAGGCTTGGGTAAGGTTCATCCAATGGGCCTCATCCCAGGAGCTGCCACCTCAGCCATGCTGCAGACACCTACCTGGCCCCTCCTCCGAGAACCCGGGACAAGGAGGAGTCTCAGGAAGGGAGGGGTGGGCCCTGATTGGGGGGGTGGGCACTGGCTGGGGTGCACTGGAGCCAACTGCCCCGAGGCTGCCTCGACAGGAGGGAGCCAGGCCTAGCAGAGACCCGGCTCTCCAGCACCCAGCCCTGCAGCGGCCAGGTCGCCCCTCCAGCTTGCCTGAGCCCCCAAGTGCCATGGAAAGGCGTCACATTCAGAGACTCTGCTGCTGTGCATGGCTCCTCCTCCGCCCCAAGCCTCCTGTTTCTGTCCTCTCCAGTCTTGCCATCTGTAGCCCACAGGGACAGACCCAACCAGGGGACCTGTGAACCTGAGCAGGGGGTGGCCCAAAGTCTGGGGACAGAGTGATTCAAAGGCACCTGCAAGGCCAGGTCTCGGGGCTCCTGCGCTGCAGCCCTGGGGTGCCCCGGGAGGGCCTGGAGGAGCCGGGACGCACCAGGCAGGAGGTGCCTGCCTGGATGATGACCCTTCCTGCCACCTACCTGTCTGTGGAGCTCCCGGAGCTCCTGGCGGGTGTCCCCCCGCGCCTGCTCTAGCTCCCACAGGCGGGCCCGCAGTGCGCTGGCCTCCCGCTGCGCCGCTGCCCGCGCCTCCTCCAGGATCAGCAGCTTCTGCTCCTTCTCTTCCTTGGACCGCTTAAAACTGACAAGGGTGCCACAGACTGGGGCCCCTGCATCCTCTGGGGGGGGTCAGCACTGCTGCCCAGCAGGTCTCTGCTGCTCTAGTGAGGCGCCGACCCCGGTCTTGACTTTCCACAATGTCCCCAAACCCCGCCTCTGCAGGGCTCCCTGTCACCTTCTGGACACATGTCCACTCATGTCCCAGTGCCCAGCTGCATGGCCCCTGTCCACCATTTGCCTCTCCAGCCCCTCCTCGCCTCATCCTTCCCCACTTCTCCCTCTCCCTCACGTGCCCAGATGCTTAATATCCAGCCCAGCTTGGCACCTCTGCCGCCTGCTGTGAGGGCTGCTGTCCAGCCCAGCTGCCCCACAGGGGCCTTTCTGGAGCCCCAGCCAGGCTCTTGTCCTCCCTCTGCTCCCCAGCCTGGTGCCACCTCTGGGAGGTCACCCGTGACCTGTCTTCCTGCTGATGGAAACTTTCTGTGGACAGGGACAGGTGTGTCCCTGTCCCCAGCCACCCTTGCACTGGCCAGCACTGCAGACCCCGTGGACTGGGCAGCAGGAGGCCTGCTTGGCATGTCTACCCACCATCAGTGGGGCCAAATCAATGGGACGCCCCTGCCTAGCCCCCTCGCCCAATCCTCCCTGCAGCCTGGGTGGGCAGTGGGCTGCAGGGACACCAGCCGCTCCGGGACGGCTGTCATACCTGGCCTTCTCCTGCTCAGCCCTGAGGATGGCGGCCTGCAGCTCACTGTTGGACAGAAGCAGTACGTCCTTCTTGCGGGCCTCGTCACCCAGCGCCTGGCGGGCCTCTGCCCTGCTCTGCTTGACGGCCTGCAGCTCCTGGCGCAGTGTGGCCAACCCCTCCTGAGCCATGGTCAGTTGTGCCCGCAGACTCTCAGCCTGGGGAGGAGTGTGCAGCTCTGGCGGCCAGCTGGGGACCGAGCTCCAGGGGGAGGCACAGGGGCCCTGCCCAGCTTGGTCCTCATGCACTTTGCTCACCCCACGGAGCCACCAATCCTACTGCTGTGGAGTCTGTGGGGTGGGGGGGGGCTCCAGGGGCTGCAGCAGGGCCAGCCCAAGAGCTCAGCAGACCCTATGTTGACCCCCTGGGTCTGTCCCCACCCTGTGGCCTCCCTGGACCCTGGGACACTGACCACTGGCCATCAAGACCTGCCTGGGACATGGCTCAGCACACGTGTCTGCACTGTCATTGCCCACATTCAGCTGCCCCTGCCCGGGGCCTCCCACCTCCGGCTCCCAGTGTCCCATCCTCTCTTTAGGTGATAGTGTGGTGCCCAGGCCACTGCCTGTCGTGTGGGTAGCAACCTTGGCAGGCAGGCTGGGCACTGACCCCAGCACAGGGACCCTGGCACAGTGGGGCTCACCCACTCCCTCAGCCCAGCCCTCCTCCCCCATTGGCATGGGAGGCAGTGGGAGGAGGGTCTTGGTTCCCTGCTCTAGCCACCAGGTATCTCACGGTGCCCAGGAGAGCCCAGGGCTGGGGTCTGGAAGACAGCTGCAGCCCGGCGGAAAGGCTCCCCCTGCACCTACACTCTGGGGTGGCGACTTGCTGGGGTTTGGCCCCAGGCTCCTGCCTCCCAGGTCTGAGCTCTGGGCCTGACCAAAAACCCTGGAGAGGACTCCATTCTGGCTCTGGCATGTCCCAGGGGAGGAGCGGGAGCTGCAGGGGTGGGGAGCCAGCAGGGCATGCCCAGGGAGGGAAGCCACAGAGACTCCGTGATGTCAAGTTGCCGGCTCGCCAAAAACAAAACCCTCTTTGCTGGCTGTTTTCACGGGATATTGTCCAGGCCCCCGGCCGGCCTGGCTCTTGAGGCTGCCGCTCTGATTGTTGTTCTGTTTTTGGGAAGGGCCAGAGCCTCCCCTCTGCTCCCCTCCACCCCCACATGTAGGAGCCCTGACTGTACTAAGCATTTTCCGCAGAGCTCAGCAGAAACGGGCCCAGAAGGTCAAGGACCAGCAAAAGGGCCCATGCATCATAAAAGAAACTGTTTTCATTTCCCAGGGCAGAGGAGATAAAAACAAGCAAAACAAATGTGGGGGAGGGGGAGGGGCCCGGAGCAGGAGGGAGAGGGCATGGGGGGAGGGAGGGGGGGGAGGGCCCCAGAGGGAGGGGGAGGACCCCGGAGGTGCAGGCGGAGGGTCCCCACACTCCCCCACCCGCTCCCTCCCCTCCTGAGAACAGCCGTCCCTTTCACGGGAATTTTACAGCCAAATCACTTAATGTGATGATAATAATCATTTCTTTACTAGAAATTGTATAAACAGCCTCTTTCAAAATCTGCAGTGAGGCAGCTCCAGAGCGCTGCAGGGAGGAGGGCTGTGGAGGGAAAACCGGGAGGGACTGGTGAGTGTGACCGTGTGTGACACAGAGCGCGTGCAGGTGTCAACTCTGTGCGTGTTGTGTGCCCGTGTGTGTGCATGCGCGTGTGCGTATGTGTGTGTGCCTGCGCAGGCCCTCCGTATGTGCATGTGAGTGTCTGCATGTATGTGTATGTGTGAGTATATGCATGTGTGTGCGTGTATGTGTGTGTGCATGTGTGTGCGTATGTGTGTGTGCCTGTGTAGGCCCTCCGTATGTGCATGTGTCTGCATGTATGTGTATGTGTGAGTATATGCATGTGTGTGCGTGTATGTGTGTGTGCATGTGCATGTGCGTATGTGTGTGTGCCTGCGCAGGCCCTCCGTATGTGCATGTGAGTGTCTGCATGTATGTGTATGTGTGAGTATATGCATGTGTGTGCGTGTATGTGTGTGTGCATGTGCGTGTGCGTATGTGTGTGTGCCTGCGCAGGCCCTCCGTATGTGCATGTGTCTGCATGCATGTGTATGTGTGAGTATATGCATGTGTGTGCGTGTGCGTGTGCATGAGAGTGTGCATGTGAGTGTGTGAATAAGTGCGTGTGTGGGTGCGAATGTGTGTGAATGCGTGTGTGCGTGTGCGAGTGTTTTCACGTGAGTGTGCGTGTGCGCTTGCTGCGCGTTTCTGTGCACGCCTGTGTGCACTGTGTGATGTCCGTGATTCCAGCGTGAGGGTTGCGTGCGTGTGAGTGCGTGGGGCATGCGTGTGTGTGTGTTCAGCGTGTGTCACGCGCGCGCCACTGTGTGTGGCGTGTGCACAGGTGTGTGTGGTCTCACTGTGTTCGTGCGTGATGTGGATGCACGCGTGTGCACACATGTGTGGGCCTTAGCCAGGGTCTGAGCCTGAAGTTCCTCCAAGCTCGAAGGCTGTGAAAAGTGTTGCGGTTTCCATGGTGACCCTGGGCCAGCCTGGCGCCGGACGGGCTGGGCTTGCTTTTCTCTAAGATTGTTCCTGTCATCCCAGTCACCCGTCCTTACCTTTCAGCCCCCACTCCCTATCTGGGCGCTCTGTTCTGGGAACCCCGACTCCCTTCCGGGGACTGCTGCCCTGAAAGCCTGACCTTCCTGTGAGGCCTTGAGGCCCGCAGAACCCAGGCGCCCCATCCCCTCCCTCGCCCCTGCTGCCCCAGTTTTGAAATCTCCTTTCGCTTCCCGGTGTGGTCGCTGACCAAGCCTGACTTTGAAATCTGTTGAAAGGAGACCTTTCTCCTTGGTGCCAGTGTAAACAGCCGGTCATGTTAAATCATGTTCTCTTCCCCTCTCGGCCCCGCCTCTTGTGTGTGCCTGGGGAGGGCTGAGCCCCTCTCCCCATTCTGCCCCTGCCGGCTGCCCGGCACCAGGTCAGCTGCGCAGCCCCCAGCCTTGGCAAGCTGCCCAGGGAGCGTGCGAGGCCGCCCCGTCCCCAGGGGCCTCGCTGGGGCTGCAGCTGACCCTCCCCTCCTCCAGCCCAGACCCCGTGCCCTCCTGCTCTCGCCATACACAGGCATCCCCCGTCCCACCAAGCCCCTCAGGAACTCCTCTCCCATCTGCCTGCCTGCTGAGTCCAGGATAGCCTAGCCTGGCCCCTTCTGCCCCCTGCCCATGACTGTTCCCCACCCCACATCACCGTCACGTGGCTCCTGGGTGCCTCCATGTCAACCTCGGGGCCTTGGCCAGGCCCAGGGCCACCCTGCTATCTCCACTAACCCCCTACTTATTTTCTTGCCCGCTGCCCCAAATCCAGCCTCCCCCCACCCTAGTGCCCAGTGCAGTGCAGTCCATGCCCTCTGCTGTGCAGGCAGAGCCCAGCTTGTCTGGGGCCTCCCCTTGCCTCAGTGGATGGCACAATGGGTCTCCTGGCCAAGGGTCGGGCTTCCCCTTCGCCCCAGGTCACGCCTGTCTCTTGGGAAGGCTTTGGGAGCCAGGCCCTCCTGACTCCACTTTCTTAACTATATGTGGAAAGAGGGGGCTGGCTGGACTCCGGAGCCTTCGGCTGCGTGGCTCTGGTCACCCCTTCACGTGCTGGCCCTCCCGGCGGCAGGATTGCCCTGCTTGTGCCCAGGAGCCGGCCAGTGTGCCAGGCACCTTCCCAGGACACGCAGGGCAGTGGGAGCTGTGTTTGGACCCATGGCAGCCTGCGAAGAGCTCCCCACCTGCTCAGCTGGCACCCTGACTCAGCCAAATCCACTTTCACCCCAAAGTCAAACTCACCCCTTCAGGGGGCTTAGAAATAACGCCTTCTTTTCCCTGAAACCAGCGTCAGCTTCTCTCAGCTGATGGCCCCGGCCAGGCACCGTTTCATCTGCTCTGGGAGCCTGAGCTTGGCTTAGTGTCTGGTGTGAGGCCCCTCGCCCATGATCCCTGTGGCTGCCTTTTCCTACCTGCGGGGGCCACGCTGCCCTCCTCCATGGCATGGCCTCTTTCTTCCTGACACCCCACTCTTCACGCTCTCCTGTCTCGGAACCTGTCCCACTGTCTTCTCGCCGCTGGTGCCCCCCGAGCCCCCAGCCCTGCCCCTCACCTCTCTCTCCGCTTGGCCTCGCTCAGCCGCCAGGTCCCGGAGGCGCTCACGCAGGGCCGTGGTCTCCGTCTGATGGGCTACGATGGCATCCTCAAACTGGGCCTGGAGGGCCTTCAGCTCCTCAGTCATGGCGCTGACGGTGGCCTGGGGGCAGCAGGGAACCCACAGTGGCACCAGCAAGCCAGGCCCTTGGCAGTGGGGGTGAGGTAAGGCCAGGACCCGGGAGAGGGAGGAGCTGCTGTGGCCGGGAGGGGAGCTGGGCCCTGCTAAGCATCTTGCAAGCCCCGGGCACTGGCCCTTAGTGTCCTAAACTGTCAACAGGCTGGTGGGATGAGGGGACGTTCACGGTCCCTGCCAGCTGTGACGTGAGTGCCCACAGACACACCCGGAGGCAGCCCCTCAGCTCAGCCTGTGCCCTGGGGCAAGGCCCATCCCTGCAGGGCCCACCACACACTCGGCAGCCTTACCCTCCATTTGGGACTGAGCTCAGGGGATGCTGGACCCCATCGCCCACACCCCCAGGGGGTCCTCTCAGGAAGCATACGGGCCTCGGGGCAGTGTGGCCAGCAGAGATCCTTGGACCAAAAGGCCCCAGGCTTGACCTTTGGCCCGTTGTTCATGGACAAATGCCACCCTCTTCACCCCAAGCCCCGGGCCCCTCGGGTCCCAACCCCACTTCCTCTCAAGGCCCTCCCCACTGCACCCTGCCCAGGTTGGGGTAGCAGGGCAGATGGGGCTCAGGGTGGCCTCAGCTTCCTGGGTCTCAATGTCCTCAATATGATGGATCAGGGCCCTACCTTGCTCAGGTTCCACACCCATGGGTTTGGGGTACCGGACCAAGCCTCCCTCCAGAGCTGGCTCTGTGTTCCCTCAGGCATAAGTGCCAGATCTCAGGAGCCCCACCTGCCCACCTGGATTCTGCCGGGGTGGGGGTTCCTGCAGCTCTTGGGAAAGGAGCTGTGTGGCTGCCTCCTGTCCTCATTCTCCACCACCCCCTGAAGACCCTCTGGACGGACTAGGGTCATCTTGGGTGACCAGGCTCTGTGCCTCTGTGTGCTCCAGCACTGCCAGTGACTGGTGCTCCTGATGCCTGGCTGCAGGATCCCCCTGTGAGGGCCTCGGGGACAGGGCACAGGCTGGAGCCTCTGGAGTGGTGACTCAGTCTGGGGGCTCACACTCTCCTGTCATCTGGCGCCGGGTGCTCCTTGGCCGGCATTCCTCTCCTCCCAGCTCCTCTCAACAGTTTTAATTTCCATTTTCTGAGCCTGAGCTGCAAAGGAGCCCTTAACGAGCTCCCCAGGGAGCCCAGCTGGCTGGCAGGCCTGGTCCTGAGTCCGGGGGAGACTCAGGGCCAGCGCAAGAGAAGGCTTCAGAAGCCAGCACTGGCTCCAGAGGAGGCCTCTCTGCGAGCTGGAGGCGTCAGCTCGCAGGACCCCAGGAGGCCTTTCCTGGTTCCTTGCCCATGGGGTGGAGCTGAGGGAGCTGCTGGGCCAGAGGTCAGGAGGAGGGAGGGTCACAGTCACAGGCCTGATGCCAAGCTTGGTCCTCCTGGGCCTCAGGGGCAGGATCAGAGCAGGGTGGGGCTCCATGGATTTAGGGGTGAGGCTCCTCTGGGCAGCCCTGCTTGGAGGGACCAGGAATCCGGGTGGTGGTGTCAGGCGGAAGGAGGTGAAGCCACATCCAGCAGCCGCTTCCTCATTGCGGTGCCCGCTCCCTCTGCACAGCGCCCCGGGGGCCACCTGGGGACCTGGCACAAGCCCTCCATCCTGGCTCCGAGTCGCTGAGCATCTCCCAAGGCTCTGCTTCTTGGGTGCCCCGGCCCCCACCAGGCGGCCTGCTCTTGCTTCCGTGCAGCCAGGGAGAAGGGTTCCCGTTCAGGACGGGCACAGAAGGGGCCTTCGTCCCGGGCCTGGCATCACGGCCTGTGTCTGTTCTCTGCCCCCCTGCGCCATGCATTCAACACCAGTTGGGTAGGTATCTAACCCTGCGTCCTTGCCAGGGACTTGGAGGAAAAGGATCGCCCGAATTTAAAATAAGCCAACAAGCACCAGAATGATGGCCTCATCACCAAACACCTGGGAGCGGGAAGGACGGAGGCAGGAGGCTGGTGTGGACCCAGCTAACAGGGTGTGTGCAGTCACCAAGGGCAGGGAGCTGCCAGAGCTGGGGTCGGCAGTCAGCCTCGCCCTCGATCCCACCAGCTCCTCGCAAGAGAGAAGCTGGGTCTGGTGGCTCCAGCCCATTCCCTCTCTGCCCAGGGCACCTCTCACCTGTGTCCGTTCAGGGCCTGTCCCCTGCCACCCAGGACAGCAGTCCTGACCCCACACAGACAGCCCCTCCTCGAACTCCCTGGGCCTTGGAGGCCCTGCTGAGGATCCCCCATCCATGTCCAATCCTGGGATCTGGCCTCTCCCCGCTGTGATCCGGGCCCCCATCCATGCCTTTTCAGTGGGCTCTCTCCACCCACCCCCCCCACCTATGAGCCAGGTCCCCACCCATGACTGTCACTGGGCTCTGGTCACTCCCTATGAGCCCTTCCCACTCTCTTCATCTCCCATGTGGGACCTGGTGCCATGTCACAGATGGGCTGAAGCCTTGGTGTTCTACAAGCAACAGTGGGTGCCCAGCCTTGCCCAGGCCTGAGTCCTCCTCCCAGAGTCCTCATCCCCAGAACTTCCCTCCCCAGAGCCTCCCTCCTCAGACCTCCCCTCTCCAGAGCCCACCTCCCCAGAGTCCTCCTTCCTACAGCCCTCCTCCCCAGAGCCCTCCTCCAGAGTCCTCATCCCTACAGCCCTCCTCCTGAGTCCTCTTCCCTACAGCCCTCCTCCTCAGAGTCCTCCTCCCCAGAGTCCACCTTCAGAGTCCTCATCCCCAGAACTTCCCTCCCCAGAGCCTCCCTCCTCAGACCTCCCCTCCCCAGAGTCCTCATCCCAGAGTTCTCCTCCCCAGAGCCCTCCTCTCTATGGCCCTCCTTTCCAGAGTCCTCCTCCCCAGAGTCTTCCTCCTTACAGTCTTCCTCCCCAGAGTCCTCCTTCCTACAGCCCTCCTCCCCAGAGCCCTCCTCCAGAGTCCTCCTCCCTACAGCCCTCCTCCTGAGTCCTCTTCCCTACAGCCCTCCTCCCCAGAGTCCTCCTCCCTACAGCCCTCCTCTCCAGAGTCCACCTCCCCAGAGTCCTCATCCCCAGAACTTCCCTCCCCAGAGCCTCCCTCCTCAGACCTCCCCTCTCCAGAGTCCACCTCCCCAGAGTTCTCCTCCCTACATCCCTCCTCCCCAGAGTCCTCCTCCCTACAGCCCTCCTCCCCAGAGCCCACCTCCCCAGAGTCCTCCTCCCCAGAGCCTTCCTCCCCAGAGCCCTCCTCCCTAGAGTCTTCCTCCCCCGAGTCCTCCTCCCTACAGCCCTCCTCCCCAGAGCCCACCTCCCCAGAGTCCTCCTCCCCAGAGCCTTCCTCCCCAGAGCCCTCCTCCCTAGAGTCTTCCTCCCCCGAGTCCTCCTCCCTACAGCCCTCCTCTCCAGAGTCCACCTCCCCAGAGTCCTCCTCCCCAGAGCCTTCCTCCCCAGAGCCCTCCTCCCTAGAGTCTTCCTCCCCAGAGTCCTCCTCCCTACAGCCCTCCTCCCCAGAGCCCTCTTCCCTATAGCCCTCCTCTCCAGAGTCCTCCTCCAGAGTCCTCCTCCCGAGTCCTCCTCCCTACAGTCTTCCTCCCCAGAGTCCTCCTCCCTACAGCCCTCCTCCCCAGAGGCTCCCTCCCCATACCCCTCCTTCCCAGAGTCCTCATCCTAGAGTCCTCCTCATTACAGCCCTCCTCCCCAGAGCCCTCTTCCCTACAACCCTCTCCCCAGAGCCCTCCTCCAGAGTCCTCCTCCCTACAACCCTCATCCTGAGTCCTCCTCCAGAGTCCTCCTCCCTATCGCCCTCCTCCCGACTTCTCCAGAGTCCTCCTCCCTACAGTCCTCCTCCAGAGTCCTCCGCCCTGCAGCCCTCCTCCCCAGAGTCCTCCTCCAGAGTCCTCCTCCCTATAGCCCTCCTCCTGAGTCCTCCTCCCCAGAGTCCTCCTCCCCAGAGCCCTCCTCCCTACAGCCCTCCTCCCCACAGCCCTCCTCCCCAGAGTCCTCTTCCCTACAGCCCTCCTCCCTAGTCCTCCTCCCCAGAGCCCTCCTCCCTACAGTCCTCCTGCCCAGAGCCCTATTTGCTGCTGCCTGCCCAGCCCCCTAGACTTGGGCTCCAGAGGGGTCCCAGGTGACCCCTGCTTGTTGCCTGCAGCAGCCTTTGTGCACATGAGGGCCTCTGTTCACTGGCTGAGGATGGGTGGCTATTTGCTGGGAGGTGTCCAGCCTCTCTCCTGGGCCTACTTAGGACTCAACGTGGGTGCCCTTTCCTGCCGAGAGTGTCCTCGGGTGCGGGGCCAGCTGCCTCGGTCCCAAAGTTTCTCCTTTGGTAGGATCTGTCTGTCCAGTGAGTTCCCCGAGGCTGGTCCTCGTATCCCCGGCTACGCTTTTCTGTGTGCAGCCCCAGCTGGGCCAGGCCTCCCCGCTCTGGCCCCTGCCAGTTCGAGGCTAAGGGAGAACTGGGCCGGGTGAAGCCTGGTGCCCACAGCTTTGGTTCACTCAGGCCTTTCCTGCCTAGAGTGTCCCTCCCACCAGGAGCCCTAAAGGCACCCAGGGGAAACTGAGGCGCAGGAAGGGAGGGATAGAGAGGGTCATGCCACTGGGGCTAGGCAGGAGGGGTGGCCTCTGGGGTCTTGGCACCTGCTCGGCTGTGCACGTGGCCGGGCGGCATGGGCTCACCTGTGCGTGCTCCTGCTGGCTCTGTGCCTCCTGCTGTGCCTGCTCCAGCGCCCTCCTGGCCCTGGAGAGCTCCTTGCTCAGAAGGCTCCGCTCTGCGTCTTTCAGGGACAGGGCCTGAACAGGACAGGGTGTGCTTGTGAGAAGGCTGGGGAGGCCTGGGGAAGGATCAGGCCCCTGTAAGGAAGGAGAGGCTGAGCACAGGGCTGCCCGGGACACGGCATGTCTCCACATCCCTGCCTGGGGAGGACAGGTGGCGCCACAGAGGCAGCCTGGGTCCTGGGCCCCTTCACGCCCTAGCGCCCACCCTCTCTGTCTGACATCGTCCTGCCTCTGTGTCTGTGCTTGGCCACGTCCCTGGGGTGTCCTCCCCTCCTTGGCCTGTCCAGCATCCTGCCCTTTCCCATGCAGTTTGGGGGCCTTCGTGAGCCACCCCCACCCCTCTAGGCCACACTTGCCGCTGTGCAGAGAAGGAACTGAAAAGCCTGAAAATGCTCCATCTCCCTGATGGGGTGGGAGATGCATGTGAGCGAGACACCCTCAGCTCCAAGGGTGGCACCTTGCCCCGTGGACGAGGCTGTGGAAGCAATGCCTGTCAGATGCACACTCGGAGGAAGCTTCTATAGCCTGGGTTTCCCAAAGGTGGGGTGTGTCTGTCTGTTATTCCTGGCAGCCAGGGACCACAGCTGAGGTATGCTAATGAGGTGACTCGGGTGGGCTCCCACTGAGTTTTGGGATGGGGCTGTCTGCTGAAAGACCCTTATCAGAGGGTTAGGGCTTTGAGCCACGGGATATCAGCCTAACCTCCCAGCAGTCAGGGAAGGGGCTTCAGTGACATAACCACCACTCCCCAGTCATGCTACACGGTGAAATCTCAGTAAAAACTCAGGAGCCAAAGCGCGGTGGAAACTCCTGGTTGCTGAGCACGCTGGGGGGTGCTGGGCTGGCTCCACAGGGAGGTGCAGCCGCCCAAGTCTGCCACGTGCCCGCACCTTGCCTGCCACGTGCCTGTGCCTTTCCTGCGTGTCCCCTCTTCTGGCGGGTCCTGACTTCCATACCTGATAATGAAACTCGAGAGTAACAAGAGGCTTTCCTGAGTTCGCTGAGTCGTTCTGGTGACTGACTGAACCTGAGAGGATCGTGGGCACCCCCAACCTTGCAGTCAGTTGGTCAGAAGTGTGGGTGACCCGGAGGTCCCTGGACTCGTGGTTGGTGTCTGTGAGAGCACCTCCTCCTGGGGACCGCGCCCTGTGGGTCTGCACTCTTTCTGGGTCAGAATTGCGTGGAATGTTACAGAGGAATCAGACATAAAGGACGGCTGTTCCCTGAGTGGCCTGGTGATGGAGCAGGAGCTGGGACCCTTCATCTCGGCCTGGTGAGGGGGACAGGAGCTGAGACCCTTCATCATGGCCTGGTGATGGGGCAGGAGCTGGGACCCTTCATCTCGGCCTGGTGAGGGGGACAGGATCTGGGACCCTTCATCTCGGCCTGGTGAGGGGGACAGGATCTGGGACCCTTCATCTCGGCCTGGTGAGGGGGACAGGAGCTGAGACCCTTCATCATGGCCTGGTGAGGGGGAATGGAGCTGGGACCCTTCAACACGGCCTGGTGAGGGGACAGGAGCTGGGAATCTTCATCTCGGCCTGGTGATGGGGCAGGAGCTGGGACCCTTCATCTCGGCCTGGTGAGGGGGGCAGGAGCTGGGGACCCTTCATAGTCGCCTGGCGAGGGGCAGGAGCTGGGACCCTTCATCTCGGCCTGGTGAGGGAACAGGAGCTGGGACCCTTCATCTAGGCCTGGTGAGGGGACAGGAGCTGGGACCCTTCATCTCGGCCTGGTGAGGGGGGCAGGAGCTGGGGACCCTTCATAGTCGCCTGGCGAGGGGCAGGAGCTGGGACCCTTCATCTCGGCCTGGTGAGGGGACAGGAGCTGGGACTCTTCATCTAGGCCTGGTGAGGGGACAGGAGCTGGGACTCTTCATCTTGGCCTGGTGAACGGGGCAGGAGCTGGGGACTCTTCATCAAAGGGCTTTTATGTTCTAAACAACTTTAAAACCAGTGCCCCCCTTGCTCCCCTCCCTCCCTCCCTCCAGGCCCTGCTTGTTTTGCTCGGCTGGAGGTCTGTTGGCTGTTAGGAATCTGCCCTTGCTGGACTCAGGTCTGTGAGGGTGGGGCCCTCTCTCTCCCTCCTGTTGCCCTCATTACCAGGCACACAGCAAAGGAATATTTGTTAGAATTTTGGCTAAAACTTGATCAAATGTGGAAGCGTGTATTCTCTAGGGTGAGGACTTCCCTTTGCAAACAGGTGTGAGCCAGCGTCACTCTGGTGCAGTGGAGACGGCCCCTGGGCCAGCTGCTCCAGGTCTTCGGCTCTTGCTCCACAGATAATTCCTTCCTTCCTTAGAGAAATAAGATTCCCCAAGACTGTTTTGTGACTGGGTCGTCACAGGTTCCTCAGGGAAGCGTGGGGGAGTTTCCCGCTGGGCCCCCCAGCCCCACTTCTCTGCTCAATTTCTCTACTCAGGCCTCCTGGAATAAAGGGCAGCTGGCGGAGCAGAGGCCCCAGGAAATCCCACTTCTTGCCCTGGCAAGGGCCCCACAGGCCAGGTCGTCTGTGCTGTGCCCCTGGGGTGCCCTTATTGTGGGTCTGCTATGGGTCCCGGGCGGGGGCACTAGCACACAGCGTCTGTCTGCGCTTTTGGCCTGTGCTCCTGTTTTTTTTTTGAGATGGAGTCTCGCTCTGTCACCCAGGCTGGAGTGCAGTGGTGCAATCTCAGCTCACTGCAACCTCTGCCTCCTGGGTTCAAGCCATTCTCCTGCCTCAGCCTCCTGAGTAGCTGGGACTACTGGCACCTGCCACCATGCCTGGCTAATTTTTATATATTTTTAAAATAGAGACAGAGTTTTGCCATGTTGGCCAGGCTGGTCTTGAACTCCTGACCTCAGGTGATCCACCGGCCTTGGCCTCCCAAGGTGCTGGGATTGCAGGAGTGAGCCACTGTGCCCGGCCTGCACTCCTGTTTGACGGAGATCCCCTCACTGGGAAGCTGGGATCATAGTCACAGGAGAACAGGCCACGTTGCCCCGAGGTTGGTCTCGGATGGGAGTCAGGGGCTGCGTGGGGGCCTTGACGGGCCACCCACCTCCCCAGACGTGTTGCTTCCCCTGGAGGCTCTTTCCTCAGGTATCCAATGGGAATAATAGCACCAACTCCCAAGGGCCTTCGAACTCACCTTTCTCCTCCTTCGCCTGGCTCTCAGCCTCTCTCCCATGGACCCTGCCCAGCCTCTCCCCAGCCTCCTGGCCCCAGACTCTTTCCCGCCAACTCCTATCATATCCTCCTGCCCCAGAACATCCGCTGGCTTCCTATCGTCTGACGCTGGCGCCGAGCCCTATCCCAGCTCCACTGCACACCTCTCGCTGCTTCCGCTCACACGCAGCCATCCCAGACACCTGCCAATGCCCACGTCCTCTCCACCCAGCACCACTGTTCCTCCTTGAGGCCTTCCCTTCCTCCATCTAAGGATGCAGAGGCGGGGGCAGTTAGGAGCACAGACCTCGGTGCCCGGCAGGTGCACTGCACAGCCTGGCAGGGCCTTCGTCTGTGGACCTTAGCTTTCTTACCAGTCACATAGGGATAATTAGAGCATGCGCCTCAGAGTGTCACAAGAATCAAACTTAAATGCAGAGCCTGACAATAAATCTTGGCTATGTCAGCTACTCCTCCTGAAGTTTGTAATTTTTTGTTTTGTTTTTCTGAGATGGACTCTCTGTCACCCAGGCTGCAGTGCAGTGGAGGGATCTCAGCTCACTGTGACCTCATCTCTTAGGTTCAGGTTATTCCTGCCTCAGCCTTCTGAATAGCTGGGATTACATGTGCCCTCCACCATGCCCGGCTAATTTTTTGTATTTTTAGTAGATACCAGGTTTCAGCATGTTGACCAGGCTAGTTTTGAACTCTTAACCTCAAGTGATCCACCTACTTTAGCCTCCAAAAGTACTGAGATTACAGGTGTGAGCCACAGCACCCGGCCTGTAATTTGTACCAAATCTTTTAGTCTTTATCACCCCATGTGACACACATGTGGACATGTCCATATGCCCATTGCTTTCACCTACAGTGAATTTTGGCATGATACGTGGGAACAGCCTAGACTCAGGGGAACTTTTACAGGGCCAGCGGCTGAGTCTCAACGGCTGTTGGGATGGGAGGATGGCCAGACGTGTGGCTGGTAGTTGCGTGCTTGGCTTGGTGGTCGAGTTGGATACACGGATGGATGACTGGATGACCAGCTGGCTGGTGGATCATGTGATGGATGGATAGACACATGGATAGATGGTTGGATGCGTGGATTGACAGCTGAGTTTGTGGACAGATGAAGGGATGTTAAGTGAACGGATGCATGGATGGTCAAATGAACTGATGGATGGTCGCCTGGGTGGTGAGGTGTGGACGGACAACTAGGAAGGTGGATGCACGGCCATGTATCTGGGTGGACAGCTAAATGCATGGAAAGAATGGATCTTCGAGTGAGTGGGTGGATGGTGACAAGTGCATGGAGGGACAGCCAAGGGCGTAGATGAATGGGTGGGTGGGTGGATGGACAGATGCAGGGATGGATGGAGAGGTGGATGGGTGGATGAACAGGTGGGTGGGTGGATGGACGGGTGGGTGGGTGGATGAATGGGTGGGTGGTTGGATGGGTGGGTGGTTGGATGGGTGGGTGGTTGGATGGGTGGGTGGGTGGATGAATGGGTGGGTGGTTGGATGCATGAATGGATGGGCAGACGGATGGATGAACTGGTAAGTGGGTGGATGGGTGGATGGATGGTGGATGGGTGGGTGGATGAAGGGACAGATGGAGGGATGGATGGGTAGGTGGGTGGATGAGTGGATGAGTGGAAAGATGGACGGATGGATGGATGGATGGACAGATAGGTGGATGGATGGGTGGATGGATGAATGGGTGGGTGGGTGGATGGGTAGGTGGGTGGACATCTGTCACCTGTGACTGCTGTGGAAGAACAAAGCTACAATAGCAGTGACCTGGAAAGGCTGCACCTGCCTGAGGTGTAGTGCCATGCAGCCCTTGTACTGGGTCAGAGACAGCAGGTGCAGCGGGTGTGAGCAGCCCTGCCACCCCAGCCCCGCCATCACCTGTTGCATCTTGTGCTCCATTTGGAGAAGGCTCTCATCCCGCTCCTGCTTCAGGCTCTGAATTTCCTCCTTCAGAGCCTCCCTCTCAGCTGCACTTTTTGCCACCAGCTCCTTCTCCTGCTCCAGCTGGCATCTGGCTACCTCCTTCTCCTCTGCCAGGGACAGACTCAGGGTCTCCTGGGCAAGGTAAAGGGATGGGTCCAGCAGGTGTCTGTGCTCCTGATTGAGACCTGGCCGGGGGGACGCCAGGACTGACGGTCCCCAGAGGCTGTCCAGTCCAGCCAGATGCACCCTCCCCATCTTCCCCCAGGGTCACCGGAGCAGGGAGGGCCTCTCTGGGTCTCAGCACCTGCCATCCCACATTGATCTATCAGTATGTAAACCATTCCTGAGTCTCTGCAGTGCACTTGCCATGAAGGAGTGTAAAGACATATCAAACCAGGCCTCCAGAAGCCTGTGACCTGCGGGACTGCTCTAATGGGTGTGGGGCCCCTGTCAGCCCTCACGCTTCACACTGCACCAGACCAGCCAACAGTCCATCCAGCTTTTGCCATGAGGGAGGCCCGCCCCAAATACAAATCCAAGCCCAGTGTGAGGGCCCCACAGGGAAGGCCCTGGATGCCCATTTGAACTATAAAGAGTTAGCAGGCCCTTGCCCGACCTTCCCTGGCCGGGCACCTCCGCCTCTGAGCTTGGTCTCCAAGGGCCCCCTCCTCCCAAGGGCCTGCCATTCCCTGGGAACTGGTAGCCTTCTAGGAAGATACTGGTGGGCGGGAAGCAGACCTTCTCCCGTTGGAGCTGTGCCAGGGCGTCACGGTGGGCCGACGCCTGGCTCTCCAGGGCCAGCTGTGCCTCCCGCTCCTGCTGTGCCACCTGTCGCTGGAGCTGCCCCATGTCCTGCCGCAGCTTCATCTCCTGGACCTCCCAGTCACTTTGTAGCTGCTTCATTTCCACTGTGGGGTGATGGGTATGGTGTGCCAGGGCCTGGCATGGGGACCCCTGAACCCTTTGGAACCCCCTAGGGAGTGACAGCCTTGGGGGTGACAGTGGCTGGCCTCCAGAAGTGGGTGGCCAGCGCATGGCAGGGTGGGCTGCGCAGGGCCCAGGGTCCAGGGTTGCAGATGAAGGCTACACGCTGACCCTGCAGCCACAGCACAGTGCCCAGCCTCAGGCCGGTGCCAGCTGCAGCCTGGGCAGGGTGTTGCTGCCCCTCATGGGCTGGGGTGGCCCAATGTGCTCAGTCACATGAGCTCCAGGCCCTTGTTTGTGCCCCTGTGGGCTCCTGAGAGGGGGCGCAGCATGTGTAGGGACTGAGCTCCACTCCAGGGGCCCCTCCATGGCTGACTTTCGGGGAAGGGGCTGGGGGAGCCGCCCTTGGAGCACCTTGCAAGGCCTGCCGCGCGAGTCCTGCACTCCGGGCCTCCTCCTCCAGCTGCTCCTGCAGCTGTGCGGCCAGCTGCTGGGCCTCGAGGAGGCTTCTCTCCAGGGAGTCCCTCTCTGCCCTGCAAAGGAGCAGCAAGCAACGCCCATCATCCCCAAGATCCTGCCCACAAAATGCTCGCAATAGCTCTACATGGGTGTTACTGAGGCTCAGCTGAAATGCAAATAAGTGGAAGAATGTTCTAGACATGATGGTGCATCTTGTCTCTGGGGCACCGTAGGCTGTTAACAAGGATGAGGAAACTGTCTCCTATTCTCATGCCATGAAAAGTCACTCCAGAGAGCCACCCTCGCATTAGACCCCCAAGTGTGGTGTGATTCCTTCGTGTGGAAAGCCTGCTTGCTGCCTTTGTACCCAGAGTGCCAGCGCCACCACACAGCAGTGCCCAGTCCCGGGAGGCGAGGGTGACAAAGACCCCACATTTCTAACAGTCAGTTCATCAGGGATCCAGCTGTTGGCAGCAGGTTTCGTCGTCACCGTTCGCTGCCCTGTGCTGGGTGTTCATCAGTGAACAAAGCAGTGCACAGAGCAGCGTGTACAAACACCGCAGACGTGAGCACGGACACCCACGGGAACACGTAACAGGAGGTGCGTGCACAGAGCAGCGTGTACAAACACCGCAGACGTGAGCACGGACGCCCACGGGAACACGTAACGGGAGGTGCGTGCACGGAGCAGCGTGTACAAACACACCACAGACGTGAGCACGGACGCCCACAGAAACACGTAACGGGAGGTGCGTGCACGGAGCAGCGTGTACAAACACACCGCAGACGTGAGCACGGACGCCCACAGAAACACGTAACGGGAGGTGCGTGCACGGAGCAGCGTGTACAAACACACCGCAGACGTGAGCACGGACGCCCACAGAAACACGTAACGGGAGGTGCGTGCACGGAGCAGCGTGTACAAACACACCACAGACGTGAGCACGGACGCCCACAGAAACACGTAACGGGAGGTGCGTGCACGGAGCAGCAGGTACAAACACGCCACAGACGTGAGCACGGACGCCCACAGAAACACGTAACGGGAGGTGCGTGCACGGAGCAGCAGGTACAAACACACCGCAGACGTGAGCACGGACGCCCACAGAAACACGTAACGGGAGGTGCGTGCACAGAGCAGCAGGTACAAACACGCCACAGACGTGAGCACGGACGCCCACAGAAACACGTAACGGGAGGTGCGTGCACGGAGCAGCAGGTACAAACACACCGCAGACGTGAGCACGGACGCCCACAGAAACACGTAACGGGAGGTGTGTGCATGGAGCAGCAGGTACAAACACACCGCAGACGTGCGCACGGACGCCCACAGAAACACGTAACGGGAGGTGCGTGCACAGAGCAGTGTTTACAAACACGCCACAGACGTGAGCACGGACTCCCACAGAAACACGTAACGGGAGGTGCGTGCACGGAGCAGCGTGTACAAACACCGCAGACGTGAGCACGGACGCCCACAGAAACACGTAACGGGAGGTGCGTGCACGGAGCAGCGTGTACAAACACACCATAGACGTGAGCACGGACGCCCACAGAAACACGTAACGGGAGGTGTGTGCATGGAGCAGCAGGTACAAACACACCGCAGACGTGCGCACGGACGCCCACAGAAACACGTAACGGGAGGTGCGTGCACGGAGCAGCGTGTACAAACACACCGCAGACGTGAGCACGGACGCCCACAGAAACACGTAACGGGAGGTGCGTGCATGGAGCAGCAGGTACAAACACACCACAGACGTGAGCACGGACGCCCACAGAAACACGTAACAGGAGGTGCGTGCACGGAGCAGCGTGTACAAACACACCGCAGACGTGAGCACGGACGCCCACAGAAACACGTAACGGGAGGTGTGTGCACGGAGCAGCGTGTACAAACGCCACAGACGTGAGCACGGACGCCCACAGAAACACGTAACAGGAGGTGCGTGCACGGAGCAGCGTGTACAAACACACCACAGACGTGAGCACGGACGCCCACAGAAACACGTAACGGGAGGTGCGTGCATGGAGCAGCGTGTACAAACACACCGCAGACGTGAGCACGGACGCCCACAGAAACACGTAACGGGAGGTGCGTGCACGGAGCAGCGTGTACAAACACACCGCAGACGTGAGCACGGACGCCCACAGAAACACGTAACGGGAGGTGCGTGCACGGAGCAGCAGGTACAAACACGCCACAGACGTGAGCACGGACGCCCACAGAAACACGTAACGGGAGGTGCGTGCACGGAGCAGCGTGTACAAACACACCACAGACGTGAGCACGGACGCCCACAGAAACACGTAACGGGAGGTGCGTGCACGGAGCAGCAGGTACAAACACGCCACAGACGTGAGCACGGACGCCCACAGAAACACGTAACGGGAGGTGCGTGCACGGAGCAGCAGGTACAAACACGCCGCAGACGTGAGCACGGACGCCCACAGAAACACGTAACGGGAGGTGCGTGCACAGAGCAGCAGGTACAAACACGCCACAGACGTGAGCACGGACGCCCACAGAAACACGTAACGGGAGGTGCGTGCACGGAGCAGCAGGTACAAACACACCGCAGACGTGAGCACGGACGCCCACAGAAACACGTAACGGGAGGTGTGTGCATGGAGCAGCAGGTACAAACACACCGCAGACGTGCGCACGGACGCCCACAGAAACACGTAACGGGAGGTGCGTGCACGGAGCAGCGTGTACAAACACACCGCAGACGTGAGCACGGACGCCCACAGAAACACGTAACGGGAGGTGCGTGCACGGAGCAGCAGGTACAAACACGCCACAGACGTGAGCACGGACGCCCACGGGAACACGTAACGGGAGGTGCGTGCACGGAGCAGCGTGTACAAACACACCGCAGACGTGAGCACGGACGCCCACGGGAACACGTAATGGGAGGTGCGTGCACGGAGCAGCGTTTACAAACACACCGCAGACGTGAGCACGGACGCCCACAGAAACACGTAACGGGAGGTGCATGCACGGAGCAGCAGGTACAAACACACCACAGACGTGAGCACGGACGCCCACAGAAACACGTAATGGGAGGTGCGTGCACAGAGCAGCGTGTACAAACACACCGCAGACGTGAGCACGGATGCCCACAGAAACACGTAACGGGAGGTGCGTGCACGGAGCAGCAGGTACAAACACACCGCAGACGTGAGCACGGACGCCCACAGAAACACGTAACAGGAGGTGCGTGCACGGAGCAGCAGGTACAAACACACCGCAGACGTGAGCACGGACGCCCACAGAAACACGTAACAGGAGGTGCGTGCACGGAGCAGCAGGTACAAACACACTGCAGACGTGAGCACGGACGCCCACAGAAACACGTAACGGGAGGTGCGTGCACAGAGCAGTGTTTACAAACACGCCACAGACGTGAGCACGGACTCCCACAGAAACACGTAACGGGAGGTGCGTGCACGGAGCAGCGTGTACAAACACCGCAGACGTGAGCACGGACGCCCACAGAAACACGTAACGGGAGGTGCGTGCACGGAGCAGCGTGTACAAACACACCATAGACGTGAGCACGGACGCCCACAGAAACACGTAACGGGAGGTGTGTGCATGGAGCAGCAGGTACAAACACACCGCAGACGTGCGCACGGACGCCCACAGAAACACGTAACGGGAGGTGCGTGCACGGAGCAGCGCGTACAAACGCCACAGACGTAAGCACGGACGCCCACAGAAACACGTAACGGGAGGTGCGTGCACGGAGCAGCGTGTACAAACACACCGCAGACGTGAGCACGGACGCCCACAGAAACAAGTAACGGGAGGTGCGTGCACGGAGCAGCAGGTACAAACACACCGCAGACGTGAGCATGGACACCCACAGGAACTCGTTCGGGAGGTGCTCAACCCCAGACAGAGGCTGTGGGGCTGGCCGTGGGCCACGGGGACCCTGGCAGCTCCACACTCCTGGGCTTGAGTGCTTGCTTCACCCGGCAGCTCTTCCCTCTTCTGCATGTGGGAAACCCTCCCTTCAATCAGCCTAGAAACCCCTCCTCCTAGAGGCCCGCCTGGCCTCCTGTAGGGGATGTGGCCTCTACCACTCAGGCATGGGACGTCTTTGCCTGAAGCCTGGGGACCTGTGCTTGTGCCCAGCTTCTGTCTCTATGGGGACCCAGGGGCAAGTCTAGGGGCTCCCCCTGTGAACCCCTGGATTGGAGGCCTGGCCCCCGCTAGGGTGCTCTTAGCAGGCTGGGGCTGCTTGGGATGTGGCCTGGGGGGACCTGGGTCCATCTTGCTGGCTGACAGTCGGGCCAGGACCCCATGAAGGGAGGGAGGCCTTGGAGAGGCAGTGAGGCACGGTACAGAAGGGAGCAGGTCCCTCTGCTGAAGGCTGTCAGGGCCTGGGGATGCTGAGAGTGGAGCCCCTTCATAAAGCCGACTGTGGGGAGGTCTCCTCAGAAACGGGGGGCCACGGCAGGACTTCCCCCACTGGATGGTCCCCAGTGTTACCCGAGAGCTCAGCAACATGGCAGCGTCTGCACTCTCCGGTCCCCTGGGCCAGTTGTAGACACACAGAGTGTGTCGGGGAAGAGGTGCCTTCAGGACAAGCCCCTCTGTCACCAGAGGCTCAGCTGGCCATCAGGACGCCCTGATGGTGGCCTGTGACGCTGAGGCCTGCAGGGCTGCCCTGTGTAGGGGCCCTGGGTCAGTGGCAGGGCTGAGGTAGGAGCAGCTGTCGGGGCGGGATTCAGGCGGTGGAGGGCTCTGGCCAGGGCCTGTGTTCTGGGTGGCAGACCCTGCTGGCAGGAACGGGGCCCCCACCCCTGGTCCTTGGGGCCCCCAGGGCTCAGGATGGAGCATGGGCAGGAACCCTCCCTCTGTTTTCCTTCCCGAAGGCGCAAGCCTTCATTTGGAGAAAAGGTTTGTCTGTGAAGAAGCTCAAGGATCCCTGACTGCAAGGTTTCCCATGCCTCCCAGGCTCTGGAATTCCAGGAGGAAATCTTTTCCACAAAAACTCCTAGCGCTGCCCATGAGGTGCAGAAGCCACCAGCTAGTGGGTTTCTGCAGAGGCTGCAGGACTCCGATCACCAGGCAGCAGCCTGCTCACATCCTGTTCTTGCCTGGGGGTGCCCGTCCCAACTCCCAGGAGCTGCCCTGAGGCCCTCTGGGCTCACCCCGCCCACCCCCCCCACACTCCACCTCATGGTCGCTGGGCTGACCCTGCTCCTTGCTGCCCAAGCCTGGGATCAGCCCTGTGATGCCGGCTCCCGGGATTGGTGCAGGGATGTCCGGCAGCCCAGGGTGGCCTATGGCAGCAGCAGCTCTCAGGCCTTGTTGGGGGGAAGGGTGCTCTGCGTCTGCTAGAAGGGGGACCCCTGGGTGGCTGCTGGCCATCTTGCCGCCTCTCAGAGTGAGCCTGCCTGGGAATGAGATCCTCTCAGAATCAAGCTGTGCTCAGAGAAGGAGAGGCAGGATTCCGAGGGCACTGTGGGAGTGCCTGAATCCAGCCATGCCTGAAGCTGGCTTCACCCCGAACTCCTCAGCTCTGTGGGCAAGACAGTCCACAGCTGCCTTCCACTGGTCTGAGCTGGGTTTCCTGCACTTGCCACCACCTCTTTCAGGAAGGCCCCACTTCCTTCACTGGGTTGACTCCTTCTAGATGCCCTCCCCAAACCCAAAGGCTCTGTGCCGGCCTCTCACTGCAGCCCTGCTCACCTGCACACACTCCTGGTCCCATGCGATGCTGTGAGTGCCTCCGTACCCTGCCACACTGCAGGCTCTCGGAGGGCAAGGGCACGCGGGACGTGGCCTGACTGGCAGGTCCTTGCACGCGTACCTGAGATCAGCTGCCTCTTCAGCTGCGAGCCGGCCCTGCCTCTCCAAGGCCTCCCGCTGGGCCAGCAGCTGGGCCCGCTCCTCGGACAGAGCACCCTCCCGTAGGGCTTGCTGCAGAGTGTCCATCTGGGCCTCCTGGTCCTGCAGGCTCTGAGCCAGCTGCTCCTCCAGGGCCTGTTTCTGGCAGGTGACCTAGGGGAGGCGGGAAGGGGACAGTCGGCTGGGTGGGCGTGGCCCTCCTGAGGGGAAGGAAGAACTGCAGAAGAAGCGCTTTTGTGCAGCGTGGCATGTGGGTGAAAGTGAAAAACGTGGGTGAACATGAGGCATGTTGGACCTCAGAAGCACACGAATGTTTTTACAGTAGAGGGGCATCCACTCAGGCACCCTGATGCCTACTGAACTGGGCACCCCCAGGTAGGAGCCAACTGTCAATCTACGTGGCACCATTTGTCTGTCCTTCAGTGTCCAGGGGCAGGAAGCGTTGCATAGAGATGGCGCTGGAAGGTAACAGAACCAGAGCACTGCAGACCAAGCCTTCCACCAAGAATGTCCTAAAAACCTCGGCAGAATGGATCACAAGAATATGTAAGAGACCCCGGATGAAGAGACAGCTGGGGCTGAAGGAGCTGAGATCCTGGAGAGAAGGAGGCCCAGGAGCTCGCCCAGCCTTCGGTGTCTCCTCTTTCCTCAAGGCATTTGCTGATTTAAGAGTTTGGGTTAAGCCGGGTGCTCATGCCTGGAATTGCAGCACTTTGGGAGGCCAAGGTGGGTGGATCACCTGAAGTCAAGAGTTCAAGACTGGCCCGACCAACATGGAGAAACCCCATCTCTACTATAAATACAAAGTTTGCCAGGGGTGGTGGCGCATGCCTGTGATCCCAGCTCCTAGGGAGGCTGAGGCAGGGCGGAGGTTGTGGAGCCAAGTTCACGCCATTGCACTCCAGCCTGGGCAACAAGAGTAAAACTCTGTCTCAAAAAAAAAAAAAAAAAGAAGTTTGGGCTGAAACATTGAGATGCCAAGAAGAGCTTCTGGCAGTGCCATGGCCTGAGGGGGACAAAAATCAGGGTTCAGAGCAACCAAAGCAAACAGGCCCTGATAAGTATCACAAGACATCAAGTTGTTTTCACAGAAAGGGGCGACCCTAGCAGTGGAGAATCAGAAATGGACCAACCTTCCTCGACCCTGCAGCTCAGCTGTGAATAGTGCCAATCACTGATTGGATGGCAGTGACCTACCTTCACTGCCTGCCAGGGTCAAAAGAAAGTCCTGGCCGGGTGGGGGGCTCAGGCCTGTAATCCCAGCACTTTGGGAGGCCAAGGTGGGCAGATCACTTGAGGTCAGGAGTTCAAGACCAGCCTGGCTAACATGGTGAAACCCCATCTCTACTAAAAATATAAAAATATAGCCAGGCATGATGACACATGCCTGTAATCCCAGCTATTCAGGAGGCTGAGGCAGGAGAATCACTTAAACCCAGGAGGCAGAGGTTATGGTGAGCCAAGGTCATGCCACTGTACTCCAGCCTGGGTGACAGAGTGAGACTTCTTTCTCCCCTCTGCCCCCCAGAAAAGCAAACAAAAACAACATAAAAAGTAAATTATTTCTGGAAGAAGAATAGCATCATCAAGAGCCTCAAATTATTTCTCTAACTTATTCTATATAAGATTGACTATTTGATCAAGACCTGTCATATCCGGAGACAGGACCACATGACTGAAACCCACAGATAAGAGCAGAAGATAGATACGGAGCCTCCCACCCTGGTTTCCAGATACTGGAGTTATCAGACACTAACTTTAAAACAGCTGACTGATACGTTCAAGAAGATGGACAGCAAGATGCAGAGTTCAGCAACAGAACTGGACCCTAAATATAAAATGCACAACTTAAAATACAGTAACCGAAAGTAAAGGAACTCATAGATGAGGGCAGACTAGACAGAAAGGAGGGAGGGGCTGATAACCTGGAAGGCAGACAATGGAATGTATTCAGACTCAGTCATAAAGAGAAGGAAGGCTGGAAAATACACAAAGGGGTGTCATAGACGTAGGCCAAGCCAGAAGTGCACGCCCTGTGTGGAATTAGTCTCAGAAGAGATCAGGGGGCATATTTGAACAGATACAGGCCAAAACTTTTCCAATCTAATAAAATACATCTAGCCACAGACTTAAAGTGGCTATAATCCCAAAAAAGGATAAATTAAAAGGAAAATGTCACATACATGCAACTTAGTAGAGCTTCTGAATAGTAAAGATAAAGAAAAATGTCTTTAAAAAAACAAAGGGAAAAACACACACAGCTGTGAGACTGACAAGACTGACATGTGATTTCCACACAGCAGTGATGGAGGCAGAAGACAGTGGAATCAACCCCTGACATTTCTGAAAGAAAAGAATGGCTCTTTTAGTTTCTACACCCAGTGAGAATATTCTTCAAAAGTAAAATCAGGACTTGCTGCTTCTGATAATGTTGAGGTAGGTTGTTGGAGACCAGCCCTCCCACCTAAAGCAACTAGGAAAGCCGTACAACAATCTGTTTAAAAGCATTAGACAGATGCAAAGACGGGCAGGTCCCAGGGGTCCAGGTTACAGAGAGAAATGCATTAACGTGAACCTGAAATTCTGTGAATACAACAGATTTCCCCTTTGAGGTATCTGCCAAGTCCCAAGTGACGCAGGGTGCAGAGCCTCAGGATCCAAGAGCGAAGCTTTAGGCCGGGCACAGTGGCTCACACCTGTAATCCCAGCACGTAGGGAGGCCGAGGTGCGCAGATCACCTGAGCTTGGGAGTTTGAGACCAGCCTGGAAAACATGGCAAAACCCCATCTCTACTGAAAATACAAAAATTACCCAGGTGTGGTGGCGTGTGCCTGTAGTCCCAGCTACCTAATTAGGAGGCTGAGGCAGGAGAACTGCTTGAACCCGGGAGGTGGAGGTTGCGGTGAGCCGAGATTGCACCGTTGCACTCCAGCCTGAGCGACAGAGCGAGACTCCACTGAAGGAAATGAGTAAAGCTTTAGCTAAAAGACTGGGAATGCGGCTTCAGATGCCAGCAGGCTTATGAGACTGAAGAGACGAGGCATAGAGTTCAGAGATACCAAAGTGCCAGGGATGAGAAGAAGGATATCAGAGAAAAGGAAGTGCCTCGAGGTAAACCTGAGATTCTAAACTGGGATTTTAAAAAACAGTACTGCTGGCTGGGTGCGGTGGCTCACGCCCATAATCCCAGCACTTTGGGAGGCTGAGGCAGGTGGATCACTTGAACCCAGCAGTTTGAGACCAGCCTGGGCAACACAGCAAATCCCCATTTCTACAAAAAATACAAAAATTAGCTGGGCATGGTCATGCATGCCTGTAGCCCCAGCTACTCAGGAGGCTGACGTGGGAGGATCACTTGAGCCCAGAAGGTCGAGGCTGCAGTGAGCCATGATCGTGCCACTGCATTCCAGCCTGGGCAACAGAGCAAGACTCTGTCTCAGAAAATAAAATAAATTGCACCACTTTTTAACAAAGTATATATTTTTTTAATGATTCATAAGTAGTAAAGGACCAGGAGACGAAGAATCTGAACAAAAAAAATAGCAGCTGAGAGTCTGGGAAATCAGATAGGACTTTTGAAAGTCTTGTAGAATTGAGAAAACGAAACCTGGAGTTTAGGGCTAACAAATAGGACCCCTGGTTAACACCTGAGCTTTACAATGAGGGACACAGGGGAGTTATATTACACCCTGGGACAGGCCAGAAATAGACGACTCCTCACAAAAGTCGGAAATACCGTTACGAAGCAGCTGAGTCCTGCGCCGGATAAAGGCGATTTATCCCGATTCTGATTTCCCAGAGTCAAAAGCAGATTCCCTCTGGAGGAAGCTTATATCATTCAAAGCCTTACATGATCTCTGTGAATTATATCTACAAAAGCACAAAGTCTGTCATTCAACCAAAAAGTATTAAGCATAATAAAAACAAAAAAATTCAAAACAAAACAAAACAATGAACGTACTGGCTGTAATCCCAGCACTTTGGGAGGCTGAGGCGGGTGGATCATGAGGTCAAGAGATCGAGACCATCCTGGTCAACATGGTGAAACCCGTCTCTACTAAAAATACAAAAAATTAGCTGGGCATGGTGGCACGTGCCTGTAATCCCAGCTACTCGGGAGGCTGAGGCAGGAGAATTGCCTGAACCCAGGAGGCGGAGGTTGCGGTGAGCCGAGATCGCGCCACTGCACTCCAGCCTGGGTAACATGAGCGAAACTCCGTCTCAAAAAAAAAAAATAAATAAATAAGAACGTGCTCCAGACGATGAAGAATGTTACCGAATGACTGAAATGTTTGTGAGAAGATGAGTGTGTGTGTGTGTGAATGGTTAAAATGACCATTTAAAAAGCAAAAATATCAGTAAAGTAATATTAGGGTTTATAACAACACATACGGAAATGAAATATACAGCAACAAGAGCAAACAGGAGGGGGAAATGTCTTAGTAAATGTGCGCTGCTGTAACAAAACCCCCGAGACCGGGTGATTTGTAAAGTACGGAAACTTATTAATTAATCTTCCCACAGTTCTGGAGACTGGGAAGCCCAAAATCAAGGTGCTGGCAGGTGCAGTCGTCTGCAAGGGCCGCTCTGTGCTTCCAAGGCTGTGCCTTGATGCTGTGTTTTCTGGCTGAGAAGAACGCTGCAGCGTCACATGGTGAAAGGCAGAGGGAAACTGAGTCACGGATGATGCATGAAGCCTCTTTTGTAAAAGCTTTAATCTCATCGATGAGCGTGGAACCCTCATGGACTAATCGCCTCTTAGATGTCCCACCTCTTAATACTCTCACAATTGGTCACTAAGTTTCAACACCTACATTTTGGAGGGGACACATTAAAATCACAGCAAGGGACAAATGGAGTGTGTTGCTGCCAAGGCCTCACATTGTTTGTGAAGTAATATACTATTTGAATATACACTGTGCCTATCATAGTTTTAGAGTAATCACTAAAACTAACAAAAAGGAATGTAGCTAAAAACAGCCCATAGAGAACATGACGTGGGAAAGTAAAGAAACACGCAGCTAACCTGGGAGGACGCCGGAGAGGAAGAATGCGAAAATATGTGTAAAATGTGAGACAAATAGATGGTACATACCAAGGTGTGCATAAAGGACATTAACAGCTACGGTGAGTGTATGTGGCCTGACGACCACTCTCATTAAAGATGAAAGTCATCAGAGTAAAGATGAGGACTACACCCGACAATATGCTTCTGACACACATTTTATTTGTTAAATGTTTTATTTGTTGATTTCAGTAGGTTTTTGGGGAGCAGGTGGTGGTTACGCGGATAAGGTCTTTAGTGGTGATGTCTGAGATTCTGGTGTATCCATCACCTGGGCAGTGTACACTGTATCAAAAAGAGTATTAGCAGAGGTAAGAGCAGACGTTTTGTAACAATAAAAAGCCCATTGCTGATGAAGACATGCAATACTAAGTATACATACACCTAATAACAGAAATTCAAAACACGCGCAGCAAAAAGTGGCTATGGGGACAAACTCGGGGGAGCTGCGGAAGAAGCAGAAGCTCCACAGCCAGAGGCAGAGACGTTAATGCCCTCCTCTCACTAACTGACGCAGCAAAGAGACAGAAACGACCAATCAGAGAAACAAATCCACACACGTAACCCAGTCAGGATGTAGAAGATTTCAACAACACTATTAAGCAGCTTGATTTAATTGATATTTATAGAACAACCCACTCAGCAATAGCATCATACACGTTCTTTCGACATGTTCAACAGAGACAATAGACTGGGACATAACGCACTTAAATCCATTCAGATAATATGGAGTGTATCCTCTGGCCATGATGAAATTACATGAGAAATTGATAACAATTTAGACGTTTAGAAGATCCTATTTCGACGTCAGGGAATTTATGTCTAAATAATCCATGGGGCAAAGAAATCACATGGGAAAAGAGGAAATCATTTGAACTGACTGATAATAAAAACACAACATGAAAAATTATCAGGATGCAGATTAGGAAACAGACATAAAACCTGATGAGAAGTTGGAACAGATTATATGTCCGCTAAAGAAATCGAATCCATTATCAAATACTTTCTCACAAAGAAAACTCCAGATTCACATTATTTCATCAGCGAATTCTGTCAAATGTTTAGGAAATAAGTAATACCAATGTTACACAAACACTTCCAGGAAAAGAGGAAGAGAAACTACTTTCCACTGTATTTTAGGAGCCCAGCACGACCCCGATTCCTAATCTGATGCTTCCAGGGAAAGAAAATGACAGAAATATTCCTCAGAAATATAGCTGCAAAAATCTTTAACAAAACATTACAAGTTGAATAAAAATATATAAAATGGATAGTAACTCATGACAAAGCAGGGCTCTCGTGGGTCTGCAAGTTAACATCTAAGTGTAATTATGTGCATAATTCACTCCATTAGCACGTAAGGAGAACAAGGATGTCATCCTCTTAGGAGTTCCAGAAAAAAACATTGAGCAGAATCCAGGACCCATTTATAATTTAAAACTCAGCACAGGAGTGAAAGGAAACTTCCTGACTCTGAAAAAGAGCATTTATGAGGAGCCCGCAGATACCATCATATTTCACGGTGAAACATCAGATTCTTTCCCTGTGATTGCGTTGGGCGGAAGTACGGCCCATTCTCACCACTTACATTCAACTTCTCTCTGCAGGTCTTAGCGCAAGAAGACAAGAGGAAGAAATAAAAGGCATTCAGATGAGAAAAAAAGTAAAGCTTGTTACAGATGAACCATCATATAAACATACAACCTTAGTACTTGTAAGTAAATGTGTCAAGATCGCATGACTCAAAATAAACTCATGAAATTGTATTTCTATATACTAACAATGAACAATAGGAAAATGACATTAAAACGATGATATAACTCATGCTATAAGACCTAGAATTAACCTAATCAAAGACGTGCAAGAAACCTCTACATTGAAAACTACAAACATGGCTGAGAGAAGGTAAAGCCATAGAGAGGTATACCATATTGATGGATATAATGGTCACGGTATTTAAGATGTCCAATTTCCTCAAGCTGATCTGTGAATTCTAAACAATTTTAATCGAAGTACTGGAAGGCTTTTTTGCAGGGGAGGGAAGGAGAAATGGACACGATGACTTTAAAATGCATGTGCCTACACATAGGACTTGGAACAGCCAGAACAATCCTGGGAAAGGACAAGGTGGATGCGTGTACACTGCTCAATTTCGAGACTTACTGAAAGGCGATTGTCATCAAGACAGTATGGTTTTGGTGAAAGCATGAACAGATTGATTCGCACAGATCAACAAATCCCACTTACATCATCAATTCACTTTCGAGTTGCCAGAGTTATTCAAGAATCAAAGGAGAGACTTTAAGAAATGGCGCAGAAAAAACTGGAAATCAGTATGAAAAATAATGGACCTTCGTTCTCACATCGTACATACAGTCTGGTTCTCACACCAGTGTGCAGCAGAATCCCCTGGGGGGCTGATGAAAATCCAGACTTCTGGACCCTGCCGCAGAGTCTGTGATTCAGTGTGTCAGTCTTGTGTGAGGCATGAGTATCTGCATTTTAAGAAGTCCCCAGGTGTATCAGTCTTTTCTCACCCTGCTATAAGAACTACCTGAGACTGGCAATTTATTAAGAAGACGTTTAATAGCCTCACAGTTCGCAGGCTTAGCAGAAAGTGTGACTGGGAGACCTCAGGACACTTACAATTATGGCAGAAGGTGAAGGGAGAACAGGCCCCTCTTCACACGGAGGCAGGAGAGGGTGGAGGGAGAAGCAGGCCCCTCTTCACACGGAGGGAGGCAGGAGAGGGTGAAGGGAGAAGCAGGCCCCTCTTCACACGGAGGGAGGCAGGAGAGGGTGGAGGGAGAAGCAGGCCCCTCTTCACACAGAGGCAGGAGAGGGTGGAGGGAGAAGCAGGCCCCTCTTCACACGGAGGCAGGAGAGGGTGGAGGGAGAAGCAGGCCCCTCTTCACACGGAGGGAGGCAGGAGAGGGTGGAGGGAGAAGCAGGCCCCTCTTCACACGGAGGCAGGAGAGGGTGAAGGGAGAAGCAGGCCCCTCTTCACACGGAGGGAGGCAGGAGAGGGTGGAGGGAGAAGCAGGCCCCTCTTCACACGGAGGGAGGCAGGAGAGGGTGGAGGGAGAAGCAGGCCCCTCTTCACACGGAGGCAGGAGAGGGTGGAGGGAGAAGCAGGCCCCTCTTCACACGGAGGGAGGCAGGAGAGGGTGGAGGGAGAAGCAGGCCCCTCTTCACACGGAGGGAGGCAGGAGAGGGTGGAGGGAGAAGGCCACACACTTTTAAACCCTCAGATTTTGTGAGAACTCACTCACCATTAAGAAAACAGCAAGGGAGAAATCTGCCCCCATGAACGACTCACCTCCCACCAGGCCCCTCCTCCAATCTGACATGAGATTTGGGTGAGGACACAAATCCGAGCCATATCAGCAGTGTGTCACATAATGCACCATGAGTCCTAGGCTGAAGCCACTATGCTCTCTGCAGGCAGGGCTCAGGCAGAGCGTTCACATCACCCGGCTGCTGGTCCCAGTGATAGGTACAAGTACCCCTTGTGGGCAGGACCAAGGAAGGACCTTGTGGGCAGGACAAGATGTACTGGAAACATCGTTGCTGGACAGTGCAAATGTCCAGTACCCGGTGGATGAGAAAGCAAATGTGCTTTACTCACCCCAAGGAACATATCTATGCAGGTAAGAAGAAAGAGCTAGGCCAGGCGCAGTGGCTCACGCCTGTAATCCCAGCACTTTGGGAGGCCGAGGCGGGTGGATCACGAGGTCAAGAGATTGAGACCATCCTGGTCAACATGGTGAAAGCCCGTCTCTATTAAAAATACAAAAAATCAGCTGGGCACAGTGGCACGTGCCTGTAATCCCAGCTACTCAGGAGGCTGAGGCAGGAGAATTGCCTGAACCCAGGAGGCGGAGGTTGCGGTGAGCCAAGATCGTGCCACTGCACTCCAGCCTGGGTAACAAGAGCAAAACTCCATCTCGTAAAAAAAAAAAAAAAAAAAAAAAGAAAGAGCTAGCGATGCACGCCATTTATAAGGAGCTCTAAAGCAGGTGCATCCAGCCCATGGCGCAGCACGTCAGAGCAGAGGCCACCTGGGCGGGGACCGGGGGCTTTGGGCAGTGGCTGAAGGGACATGGGGAACCTGCTGGGCTGACAAAAGTGTTCTACATCTTGATCTTGGTGGCTACACGGGTTTGCACAATTGTCAAACTCACTAACACTGTGCACTGACTTATTAAATGCCAACGATACTTCAACAGCAAAGGAGGAAGAAGATGACCCCGAAAAGCTCAAGACAGAAAATGGAAAGAGAGCTGAGCTGTGCTGCCTGTAACGGGGCCACGGAATCTGAGCCTTGGTGGCTTGAAAGCCTCCCTCCCTCTGGCGGGTTTTCTGCATGGATGAATGAGGCAGGATTGGAGCAAACAAGTCTGTTTCTTTCTCCACTGAGCTGAGCTTCCTCAACAAAAGACGGAGCATTGGGAACGAATGCATGAAGGCAGGGATGAATGTGCAGTCACAGAGCTCAGCTGTGTGGATGTGGCCCGGGAAGAAACAGGCAGCAAAGACAAAGCTCTCTGAGGGGCTGGTGTGCAGAAGTCACTAGCCTGACGCCCGGCTCCCCTGCCAAGGGGTGGGACGGAGATGGCAATCTTCTCTGCATACCCTCTCCCTGCCCCCATCCTCACGGGGAGGCCAGCACTGGGCCTGGCCGTTACCAAGACAGAAAGAGCTGGTGTGGGCATCCTGAGCCTACCTGACTCCCAGAAGTAGCTTAGGCAGGACCCACGACCCAGCCGCGTCCCAGACGGCAGCAGCCCGCCCTGCAGACATCCTCACCTGGACCACCTGCTCCTGGAGCTGGGCCTTCTCTCGCCCCAGCAAGGCTGCCTGGCTCTCCAGCTGCTCCTGCCGCTGCTCCAGGCCCCTGCGCCCCGCCTGCTCCAGCGCCAGCTGCTGCTCCGCCTTTGCCAGCTGCTCCCTGGCCCGGGCCTGCTCCTGCTCCAGAGCCTTCTGCTGCTCCCGCAGCTGGTCCCGCTCCTGCTCCAGCTACCACCAGGGGTCAGGGCCTCTGCATCCAGCCCCCACGCCCTCGGGCCCTGCAGCCACCCCCAAGGCCTGCCCCAGGCACACTGTCCTCCCTCCCTCTGGCCTGGTCAGGGCCAGCCAGGCTCCTCGTCCCCAAAACCTTGGCCCAGGAGAGGGAGTGATCTGGGAGGATGGAAGGAAGGCCCAGGGCTGGAGACCCACAGCCACCCGGAAACCCGCCCTGGCGAGGCCCCACCCTGGCCCTTGTCTCACCTGGAGGGTCAGGTGGTTCAGCACACTTTTGTCCCGAGCCAGCCCATCCATCAGGGTGGCCATTGCAGCCAGGGAGTCCCTTTGCTGCACTCCCTCTGACTTCAGCCGCCTCACGAGAAGCTCCAGGTCAGCATTACTGCACTCGGCCTGGGGCAGGGAGGGGTACCAGGGAGAGACCTTCAGCTTCCAGGGCAGGTCTGCTGCTGCTGGGGAAGGAGTGAGCCCTGAGCCATGCGGTGTGCCAGCCAGCACTCCTGAGCAGGCATGGTGGGAAGGTCCCCACAGTGGGGAGGTCTCAGGGCCACTGGTGGCTCCAGGCACTGAGGCTCCAGCCAGAGGATGTGGCTGGTGGGCTGGGGAGAGGCCACAAAGAAGCAGGCATGGCCAGCAGGGTTGAGAGCAGCCAGGCCAGGCCACTGCCTGCTGGTGGGGACAGAGAGAACTTCAGTGACTTTGGGAGCTCTGGTGATGGGCTGAGGGTCCCGGCAGGCAGGAGACAGAGAGTGAGAGGCCAGGTCAGTGAGGCCAGGGTGGGTGGGAACAGATGGGAGGGCGGGGTGGGGGGGGGCGGATGAGAGGGCGGTGGGGGGCAGATGGGAGGGGGTGGGGGGGCAGATGGGAGGGTAGGGGGCAGATGGGAGGGGGTGGAGGGGCAGATGGGAGGGGGAGTGGGAGCAGATGGGAGGGGGATAGCGGGGCAGATGGGAGGGGGCAGGATGGGGGGCAGACGGGAGGGGGTGGGGGGAAGATGGGAGGGTGGGGGCAGATGGGAGGGGGGGTGGCGGGGCAGATGGGAGGGGGTGGGGGGAAGATGGGAGGGTAGGGGGCAGATGGGAGGGGGGTGGCGGGGCAGATGGGAGGGGGTGGAGGGGCAGATGGGAGGGGGGATGGCGGGGCAGATGGGAGGGGGCAGGATGGGGGGCAGATGGGAGGGGGCGGGGGGCAGAGCGTACCCTGGCCAGGGCGCTGTGCAGGGCCTCCCTCTCACTCTCCACAACGTCCCGCTGGAGCTGTGCCACGCTCAGTGCCTCCCGGGCTGAAGCCAGCTCCTCTCTGAGCCTGGAGACCTTCTCTTCCAGCTGCTGCAGGCGGCCTTGACTGAGGCCCCAGACCAGAGGGCGGGGGGTCTCTCAGGGTGAGCAGTGACATTTCAGGGAGGAGACTGTCTGTGACTCCCTCCAAGCCCAGGGAGCCCAGGAGGAGCATGGGGTTCCCGGGAGGACCAGAGACGCAGGGAGCCCTTGGCTTCCAGCTTCGTTTCTGGGGTGGAGGAGGCACAGGTGCCTCGGTGGAGGGGAATGGGGCCCCACATCTGCTGGGCCCACAGGGTGGGTGCCCCTGGTGGGGCACTGGGCCAGTGGGAGTGGGGGTCTGGGTCTGGAGGATGGTGCAGACAGAAAGGAGCCTGGAGAGCCCCCGCCCCATTAGGGCTGCCCCGCACTCTGAGATGAGACTGCAGAAGCAGGCCCAAGGCTCAGGGTGGCAGCGAGGGGTCTCTCTTGAGGGAGTGACCCTGCCCCCCGCAGCCGCTGCCTGGTCTCCAGCACACCTGGTCTCCAGGGCCCTGCCGCTCCGCCCCCTCCACAGAGCCAGCTCCTCCCTCTTCTCCTCTGGCAGCATGAGGCTTCTCTGCAGCTCCGAGGCCTCCGCCCCCAGCCCCCGCTTCTCCGCATCTGCAGCGCCTGCCTTCCCTCTCGGCTCCTCCACCATCATCTCCAGAGCAGCCTTCTCCCTGGGGGTGAAGGGGGCAGAGTTGGGGCAGCCCTGGACACATTCGAGGTGCACAGCATGCCTTGGTGGGCAGCCGGGGCCGGGTGGATGCCAACCCCGAGACCGTGTGGGCAGACGCAGCCGCTGAAGCACACAGGGCCTCACTGGTGGACGGGTCCCACCCCGGCTCCTGCTCACCTGGTGCCCACGGAACTCTGCTGGAAGGAAAGACCCCTCCCCGCCGGGGGCCCCTTCTGCTCCAGAGTGCTGTCCTGACAGCAGTCCTGGGCCCTCAGGGTCCCACACTCCCTGTGCAAGGCCGGGCAGCCCCTTCACTCTGTTACCTCCCCTGGAGCTTGAAGGACGCCCGGCACTGCTGCTCCTCCAGCCCCTGGGCCTCCAGCTGGCCCCGAAGGGCCTCTTGCTCCCGAGCCTGCTCCCGAGCCCGCTCCTGCTTCGAGGCCCGCAGCTCCCGCCGGCACTGGGACAGCTGCTCCCGGAGCCTGGCCGCCAGGGCCTGCGAGGACTCCAGCTGCAGGCACAGCTCCTGCCCGGGGGGAGTGCAGTGTGGGCCCCTCAGGCAGGCTTTGCCCACCGAGGCCCACCGGGACTTGCTACTCCACAGAAAAGACACTGGAGCCCCTCCCTGGGGCCACAGGGCTCCGGCAGGCCCCATAACTACCCTTCAGCCTGAGGGCCTCATGGCTCTGCCCTCAGGGAGACAGGGGTCCCACGGGCTGCGGCTGCCCACCTGCTCCCGCCACCGCCGCCTCTCGATGGCTGCCCGCACGGCCTGCAGTGTGGGGTCCAGGGTAGCCGGGGAGTGGGTGCGTGGCAGGGATGCCCCTTGGTGGGGAGACGTGGCACATGGGCGGCTCCTTGGTGGGCGCTGCACCTTCTCCCCTTCAGTGCTGGGGCTCCATTCCCGCTCCAGGCACCACTCATCCTCCTCCGCCACCTTCAAGGTGCAGAGAGGCCCAGTGCGCAGGGCCGTGATTTGGTGGGGATTGCGCAGACAGTCCTGAGGGTCCCTGCAGGCCACCTCCACCTTCGCTACCGGGGGACAGGCGAGGGGCTGCCCCCTCCTGATGTGCCTCAGAGTGCGCTGCAGGGACCCCACCTCGCCCTGCAGGCCATCCTCTGCCATCCCCGGCTGCCACTGCACCAGGCTTCCTTCGAAGGGGGAGACCCCTGAGTGAGGCTGACAGACCCCCGCCCACAGCCACCCCGTCCCGCCCACCAACCAGGTTCTGCAGGTCGGTTCTGAGGGCAGCGATGGTCCTCGCCTTCCGCTCATTCTGCTCTGTGAGCTTCTCCACCAGCAGCGTTTGCTCCGAGAGCCTGGAAGGAGTCAGGGGGAGGGTGGGGTGTGAGGGGCAGGGCCCAGAAGACGGGCACCTGAGCATGCCCTGGCTCTGCCCGGGTTCCTCCATGCCGTGGCCCCCTGCCGCTGCTGGGCGACACCTCTGTGTGGTCTCTGTCCCTGGTCTGAGCACGTGCCTCTCCTGCTACAGAGCCTGCAGTGGCTCCCACGGTCTCAGGAGCCAAGGCCTACACCCTGACCCTCTCCAGGCTCACCCTCGTTGACTGCTTCAGGCTCTGCCCTGTCCTGTGGCACAGTAGAGGGAGTGCCCAGTGCCCACCACAGGCCTTTGCCCGGCCCACCCTTCTGCTCACAGCACCAGGCGCCATCAGTGTAGCCAGGAGTGATGTCCCTTCCTTCTTCCTAGAGATCCCGGGTTCCCCTTCCCGTGGCTCCCGCCCTGGCATGCAGCCCCTGCAGCTGTCCAGCACCCGCGGGCCCCACATCCTGTACTGCTCCTTTGGGGCTGGGCTGTGGTGTGTTTGACTCAGCTGGACCCCCAGAGGGGAGGGAGGGCTGTCAGCCCGGTGGGGTGTTTGTGGCCAGGGGGGCCTTGGACCCCAGGTTGTGAGGCATCGGCCCCACAGCCAGCAGGTTAGGCCTCCACTGGGGAGCCGCCCCCCACTTTCTGCTGAAGCTGCCCTCGAGAGACCTCTGGGCCCCCACTGTGGATGGGGGGTCTGAAACCTTTCACCATCACGCGGGCCTCACAGACCCCCAGATGGGGCGTGGGTGTCCTTCACACCAGGCAGGAGGTGGCCTGGTCCCTCTCCCTGCCTCGGTTTTCAAACGATTTGCTCCAGGTGAGCTCTTGTCCTGGAAAAACGTTCCTGCTTTGGGTCCTGAACACTCCAGTTCTGGGTGCTGACCCTGAGAACACCATCCCAGTGAGCTTCCTGCCATGCTCCCTGAAACCCTCACTGTGGGAGACCCCAGTGCCCACCTCCTGGGCATTAGGGGAGTGCCCTGCACCTCTGGGATGGTGATCCTGAAGTGTGTGCCCCACGTGTGACGCCAGGGCCCCACCTGCCCTGGACCCATGCGACCACATCCGGGAACCACAGCTGCTTGGCCGGCTGGATGGGTCCCACCCCCTTGGGCCCTCCCTGTGCCAGCCTGCTGGCCCTTCCTGCCCACCTGGCCTGGAGTGCCGACTTCTCTGCATCCCTGGGGCTCTGCAGCTGCAGGATCTCCCCCACCTTGTCCTGAAGCTGCTGCCCCAGGGTGCTGGCTGTGCTGCTGGCCGACAGCCGCAGGTTGGCGTCAAGGTTCAGGCAGGCGGTGTGCAGGCAGCGGGCGGTCCTGGCCGTGTCTGCCTGCAGGTCAGCGAGGCCCCTGGGAGACAAGGGTGGCACCCGTGGTTGACTCAGGACCCACCAGCGGAGGGAGGGCCTGGTCCCATCAGCCTTGCAGAGGACCCCCTCCTGGACATCTCAGGAGAAGCCCCCAGAGCATGGCACTGATTGTGCCCATGTGTCACCAAACAGCAGGAAGGCAGCTGGGGGGGATTGAGCAGGGGCAGGGCAGGGCTGCACACTTCCAGCCTCATAGGCCTTCACTGAGGCACCCACCCTCAGCCCCGACTCCTGGGAAAGGGGCTGCCACACACCTGAGGGCTGGCAGGGGAGGGGTGGCACCAGGACTGACTCCAGTGTGGCACTCAGCAAGGGCTGCATGGACCCCAGAAGCTCCATCCAGGTAGGTGTCCCCACCCCACAGCGTCCTCATCTCTCCATGTCCCTGTCCCCAGCCGCCCTCCTCTCCTCTCTCCTTGTCCCTGTTCCCCACCTACCTCCCTGGCCCAGTTGTCCCTGTCCCCAGCTGCCTTCCTTGGCTGCCTCATCACTGTGCGAGCCTGTGGGTCCTGGGCACCCACGGCCAGCAGGTTAGGCCTCTGCTGGGAGCCACCTCCCCACTTTCTGCTGAAGCTGCCCTTGAGAGACCTCTGAGTCTCCCATGTGGATGGGGGGGTCTGAAGCCTTCCATGAACACAGCGGGGCTCACAGACCCCCAGATGGGGTGTGGGTGTCCTTCACACAGGGCAGGTGGTGGCCTAGTCCCTCTACCTGCCTCAGTTTTCAAACAGTTTGCCCCAGGTGAGGCCTGGCCAGGGCCAGGTGAGGAGCCGGCCGGCCAGGGCTTCTGCAGCCCCGGAGGGCCCCCCAGGCACTCTTCCCCTCTCCCCGAGGGGCCCCCATGTGGGGCGGCTGACACTCACCTCTCCGTGGCTGCGCGCAGCTCAGCCAGGCCTGTCCCCAGCACCACAGCCTGTCTCCACAGGAGCAGGAGGTCCCGGGCCTTCCCCAGGGCCCCTGGCTGGGCCTGAAAGCAAGAGGCTTCCCGTCTACTTCAGGCTGGGGCCCTTTTCCCTCCCTGAAACCCACTGTTTTCCAGGGGCCATGTCTGTCTCCATGGCGGCTGGAAGTGGACCCGGCACCCTGAAGCCCCCACATCCCACGGGCAAGTGAGCCCTGGGCTCCCCTAACCCCACCCTGGGGCCATGCTGTGCCTCTCCCCAGAAAGGACCTGGGCACGGCCCTCCAGGCCGGCCCACATGATGGAGGGGGTGGGTGGGGCGTGTGGGCCCTGGGAGGGCAGGCACTGACTGGGTCTAAGCTCCCCAGCAGCTCTCAGGAACCGCTCAGGCTTAGAACACCCCAGAACCGGGACTGGGCCCTGCTGGGGCCCTCGGCTCCTGCCCCTGACTCCGAGGGAGTGGACTGGCTGTCTTTCTCTGGCACAGTCTTTGTCCTTACTCTGAGGGCTCCTGGAGATGTCCCGGTGTGGGTCTGGAACTTCGAAGGTGCCAGAGACACGGAAGCGTTAGAGGCCTCAGCACTGGGGCCCCGGCTCGGCAGGGAGGAGGGTGGGAGGCCACTGCCGAGGCGAGGCCAGTGATGAGGCTGTAAGGGAGCGGAGGGGGAGGACCCTGTCCAGGCAGCAGTGGGGGAATCGAGTGTGCTCAGCGGGTCCAGCCTGCAGGAGCTACCATGCAGGCCTCAGGGTCTCCGCACCACCCTCCAGGCCCTGCACGCGCCGTCTCCTGCTCGCCGACCTCTGGAACTCGGCGGGGTGACTGTGTTCCCACCACCTCTCCCCGCCTGTGGCAGCCCGAGCCCTGCTCCTCAGGCTGCCTTCAGGCAGATCGCTCACGTCCTGCCGTTCTCCAGAATCCCCCCAGAGGACCACGGTCAGAAACCAGCAGAAACAACGAGACGAGACCTTGAAGACCTTCAGGTAGTGGATCACCCTCTGACCCTCACCAGGCTTTCCTGACCCTCACCCGATCCCATGCCCGAGGTTCCCCTCAATGAACTCATTACCCCTGGTCACACACCCTCCAGACGGCATGCCATGCTCAGCCCATCAATCCTGGTCACACACCCTCCAGACGGCATGCCACGCCCAGCCCATCACACCTGGCAGTAGGCCCTCCGGAGGGCATGCCACGCCGAGCCCATAACACCTGGCCGTACACCCTCTGGAGGGCATGCCACACCCAGCCCATAACACCTGGTCACACACCCTCTGGAGGACATGCCATGCTGAGCCCGTAACACCTGGCTGTACACCCTCTGGAGGGCATGCCACACCCAGCCCATCACACCTGACAGTAGGCCCTCCAGAGGCACACCATGCCGAGCCCATAAGACCTGGCAGTATGCCCTCCGGAGGGCATGCCATGCTGAGCCCATAACACCTGGTCACACACCCTCCGGAGGGCATGCGATGCTGAGCCCGTAACACCTGGCTGTACACCCTCTGGAGAGCATGCCACACCCAGCCCATCACACCTGACAGTAGGCCCTCCAGAGGGCACACCATGCCGAGCCCATAAGACCTGGCAGTATGCCCTCCGGAGGGCATGCCATGCTGAGCCCATAACACCTGGTCACACACCCTCCGGAGGGCATGCCACGCCGAGCCCGTAACACCTGGCTGTACACCCTCTGGAAGGCAAAACCCTCTGAGCCCATTCCACGTGGTCACACACTCTTCCAGCGCATGCCACTCTGTCCCTGGTATACAGGGGTGGACACTTGCTTCAGCCGCACTGCCTCCTGCACTCTGACTGTGTCCATCAAAAGGCTGAGGCACTTCTGGCAACATGGAGGGGCGGCTGCCAGATTAACCCTCCCCGTGAACCACGGGAGACTCCAGATTCACAGCCTCTTCCTGTTCACAGCCCACGGCTGGGCTGGCCTCAACGGTTGGAACACTCAGGCCAGCAGTCGGTGAAGTCATGGACCATTGGGGAATGTAGGCAATTCTTGCTAAGCACAGGTGTGCACACACAGACACGCACACAGGTACGCACACACACATGCACACACATAAACATGCATACATACACATGTACACATACAGATGTGTGCACGCACACATACACACAAATATACACATATGTAAGTGTGCAGGCATGTAGGTGCACACACATACACACGCACACAGGCATGCACACAGATGCACACATACACATGCACACATACACACACGTGCACACACACGTGCACAAGTATACACATGCTTGAGGGTGCAGGCATGCACACACGTGCACACACCCATGCATATATGCACACGTGTGAGCATACATGTATACACATGAACACACATACACATGCACACATAGACACACACGTGCGTGCACATACACGCGCGCGAGTGTGCAGGCATGCGCGCACACACACACACCACCCTGCAGGACATAAGGAAAACTGCCCGTCTGGAATGCTGGAGTTAGAAAAAGTCTTCCTCATGGACTTGGAACCACATTTAGACTTCACACAGTTTGCAGCTGAATTCACACAACCAGGATAGTCCCAAGAAAACTCAGCCTGAAAATGTACTTCAATGTGGCCCCAAAGACTGTTAGAGCCCCTCAGCATCTATCAGAAGCAAACAAAATTCCTTCCTGGAGAATACTGTATTCCCCTCACGTTTCAGAGAAACTTCACAGAGTTCCTAGGAAAATAAGCAGCTCTTAGTTAGAACGTAAAATATCAGCAAAGGCACAAGGAAACAAAGGACCATGATCAGAAACGACAGAGCCAGACCTCAAAGAACTTCAGGTATTAGACACACACAGGCCATAAAAAGACCATGTTAAGCTCGCCGAGCAAATAAATAAGAGGCTTGAAAATGTGAATCAGGAAGCCGGGCATGGAGGCTCATGCCTGGATCCCAGCATTTTGGGAGGCTGAGGTGGGTGGATCACCCGAGGTCAGGAGTTTGAGACCAGCCTGGTCCACATGGTGAAACCTCATCTCTACTAAAAATACAGAAAATAGCCAGGCGTGGTGGTGCGTGCCTGTAATTCCAGCTACTCAGAAGGCTGAGGCGGGAGACTTGCTTGAACCTGGGAGGTGGAGGTTGCAGTGAGCTGAGATTGTGCCACCGCACTCCAGCCTGGGTGACAGACCAAGACTCTGTCTCAAAAAAAAAAAAAATGTGAGTTAAGAGTAAGATATTTACTATTTGGGAAAGAATCAAACAGAGCTCTTGATGAAAAATACAATATTTGCAATTTAAGCTAAGTAGTCAAATTTAACAGAGATTAGACATCGGAAGAGAAGACTGATGGACAGGAATGGAAAAGTGAAGGAACAACCTGGAATGTAGTCCAGGGTGATAGCAAGAACAGAACCGTGGACTTTGTGAGCGGCAGCGTGGGGGTGGCTAACACACGTCGAGCCTGGGCTCAGAGGAGGGAGACGGACAGGGAGCACTGGCAGCGTTTAAAGATACTGGCTTTCAGAAAATAACAGGTGACACAGAGGCTCCCAGAACCCTGAAGCGGAATAAACATAGAAATCTACACGCAGACACAACCCGGGGTGCGACACAACGCCCAAGCCGGAGCCGGGTCTTAAGAGCAGCCAGGTGAGGGACGTGTCACCTTGATGAGGAGCCCGTCAGAATCCAGGCAGCCTGGAAACTGACTCCTCAGCAGCAGCAGCGGAAGGAGAAAGAGAAAGCAGTTCTTAGAAAAGTGTCAACCAGTGGGAATTGTTCTCAGGGACAAAGGAAATAAGACCCAGGTGATCCAATGCCAGCCTGAGCTCAGGGACCCTCGCCTTCCCCGCATTTGTTCTCACGCAGTGGAACTGGCTCCTGTGGTCATCAGGTGACCTGCCCAGCGGTCCGAGGACAGGGACCAGGCAGTGGGAACGTGAGATCTGCCATCAGATGCCTGGAGCCGGGAAGGCCTGGCATAGGCGGCTGGGTTCTCGCTGATAGCTGGGCTCCCGGTGACACCCTGCAGAGGCTGGCATTCCCTCTCCAGGTATAAACTTCGGCTGCTCTGTCTGACACCTGCCTTTCAGGAGCCATAGCTGCCCGGGGCTTGGGGCTTGGGGCTGGGACCCGGCCCAAGTGGGAGGTGAGTGTCGCCCGTCTGGGACAGGCTTGTCTGAGGGACGTCTGTGGAGGCAGCCTGAGGCCTGGAAACTCGGCCGCGCCTCCGGCTCCCGCCTCCATCTGGCGCAGCACACCTTCCAGGGGGACCCTCTTCCTGGGGGACTCCTTGCCCATGGTGTCTGTGGCGTGCAGGGGCTGGGCGTCCAGGTACCCTTTGCTGGAGGACTGTTGGGACCACCTTCAGCCCCAGGGACTGCCTGGCTAAAGTGCCACATTACCCAAGGGCACACCAGCTTCAGGGGTTCCCACAACCACAGAAATATCTGAGCAGGGCACGAACACCTGGACGTCTCCCTCCTCAGGGGCTGATGCCTGGAGCCCTGGGCCCTGACCCCTGCATGGCTCAGGGCTTCAGAAGCTAGAGTGGGTAAGGCTGCAGGGGGTCTAGAGCGCCACAGCCAGGCGCAACCCCAGGTTCCTGCCAGGGTGCCCACTCCTGAAGTCTGGCCAGGAGTTCGACCTATGGAGATAACTGGCCTCTCAAACAGGGTGGCCCGCACCAGAGCCAGGGTGCGCCCCGTGCCCCTTCGCAGAGCCCTGCCCTCCTTCTGTGGCTCGGGGCGGGGGGTAGGGGCAGACTGGGGAGTCCTCATCCCACAGACTGCTGTGGCCAGGCTGTGCTGGGGACATGGTGTGGCACCCTCTCCCAGTCCCTGCCTGCTACCCACCACAGGCACCCAGACAGGCGGCCGCCACGGGGTGGGTGAGGGTGGGGGCAGACCTGTCTCTGGGGCTGGCGTCTCCGCTCCAGCTCGCCCTGCAGGCGCCGCACACTGCCCATCGTTGCTGCCAGCTCCCGGGCCAGTGCGTCGTTGGCCTTCTTCATGTGCTGCAGCTGCTCCCGCAGGAGGGCGTTCACCTGGCACAGGCCGGTGCTCCTGGACAGAGAACCCAAAGGGCATGGCGGGGCTGGCGGCCTCTCTCAAGAGAGGTGTTCGGTGGAGCCCAAACCCTCTGGGCCCAGCCAACCCCGGTCCAGGTGCACGGCCTCCGCTCTGCCCCCACCTGCCATGGGCCCCACAAGGAACCCCTAAACCGAGTGCCAGCATCAAGGTGGTGCTCCCAGGTGCCAGCCCAGCACCCTCCTGCCTTCCCGCAACACCTGCCTTCTGCTCTCCCCCAGGCCCCAGCCTGAGCTCCCCTGGCTCTGCCTCTACAACCTTGACCCGCTCCTCAGTGCCTGAGACAAGGTGCCAGGGATGGGGAGGAGGCGCCCTTCGACGGGCAGGGTGACGTGCTGGTGGGGGGTCCCTGCTGCACCCTGGTGCCTCCCCCCACGAGGAGGTCTGCTCTTGCACCAAGTGGGTGACCTGCTCTCGGGAGCCCACGCCCCACCAGGTTCACTCTGGGCTCCTCTCCGCCCACCAGGCCTAAGCCTCCTCTTGGGTATTGTTCTGCCCTCTCATAACGGGTTTTCAAAAGCCTCTCAGCTTTTCCCTATTCCTGGAGGATGAACCAAATGTGGTAATATTCTACAAACAATTTAACCTCCTCATGGCTGGGAGACTAGTGGGCCCTGGTTACGGTGGGGACCGGGGTAGTGTGGGGACCGGGGTAGTGTGGGGGACCGGGTAGTGTGGGGACCAGGGTAGTGTTGGGGACCAGGGTAGTGTGGGGACCGGGGTAGTGTTGGGGACCGGGGTAGTGTGGGGGACCGGGGTAGTGTGGGGGACCGGGGTAGTGTGGGGGACCGGGGTAGTGTGGGGACCAGGGTAGTGTGGGGACCAGGGTAGTGTGGGGACCGGGGTAGTGTGGGGACCGGGGTAGTGTGGGGACCAGGGTAGTGTTGGGGACCGGGGTAGTGTGGGGGGCTGGGGTAGTGTGGGGACCGGGGTTGTGTGGGGACCGGGGTAGTGTTGGGGACCGGGGTAGTGTGGGGACCGGGGTAGTGTTGGGGACCGGGGTAGTGTGGGGGACCGGGGTAGTGTGGGGGACCGGGGTAGTGTGGGGGACCGGGGTAGTGTGGGGACCAGGGTAGTGTTGGGACCAGGGTAGTGTGGGGACCGGGGTAGTGTGGGGACCAGGGTAGTGTTGGGGACCGGGGTAGTGTGGGGACCGGGGTAGTGTGGGGACCGGGGTAGTGTTGGGACCAGGGTAGTGTTGGGGACCGGGGTAGTGTGGGGGGCCGGGGTAGTGTGGGGACCGGGGTTGTGTGGGGACCGGGGTAGTGTTGGGGACCGGGGTAGTGTGGGGACCGGGGTAGTGTTGGGGACCGGGGTAGTGTGGGGACCGGGGTAGTGTTGGGGACCGGGGTAGTGTTGGGGACCGGGGTAGTGTGGGGACCGGGGTAGTGTGGGGGACCGGGGTAGTGTGGGGGGCGGGGTAGTGTGGGGACCGGGGTAGTGTGGGGGGCGGGGTAGTGTGGGGACCGGGGTTGTGTCGGGACCGGGGTGGTGTTGGGGACCGGGGTAGTGTGGGGACCAGGGTAGTGTTGGGGACCGGGGTAGTGTGGGGGACCGGGGTAGTGTGGGGGGCTGGGGTAGTGTGGGGACCGGGGTAGTGTGGGGGGTTGGGGTAGTGTGGGGGGCTGGGGTAGTGTGGGGGGCTGGGGTAGTGTGGGTGGCTTGCTGTCAGGGGGCTGGGTGTGACACCTTCTTACCAGCAGTGAACACAGGAGCCCCTGACTATGAAATCAGAGAGGCTGGAAGGCAGCAGGGACAGCTTGTGAAGGAAACATGAGCTGAGGAGCCCTGGTGTTGGCTGGGCTGGGGGGGGGGCGGTGGAGAGCCCACCCGCCTGCAGCAATGGGGAAGTAGCAGCCTCAGCCTTTGTCGGGCCTGGGAAGGGCGTCTTGGAGAACAGGGCAGGGTGAGCCACCCGCAGGCTTCGAACCTGTGGGTGGAGGGTGGGGCCGGGCAGAGGCCCCCTCAGTAAACCCAGGCTTGTCATGGTCAGTGCCATTTCAGGGTGTGAGAGTGGGCAGCGAGGGGGTTGGGTGGTCGCTGGATCCAGGTGTGGCTGGGGCCAGGGTCTGTCACCAGGTCCTGATGTCAGCGCTGGCTGACGGGCTGGAAGCTCTGTCTGTCCGCTCCCTCCCAGCCATTCATGAGCCAGGCTGACCCGTGGCAGGGAGGATGGTGGAGCGTGGAAGGCTGACCCGTGGCAGGGAGGATGGTGGAGCATGGAGAGGTGGCTGTGTGGAAGGCTGACCCCAGCCTGGCTCCCCGTGGGGGCGGCCCCTGCTCCTGGCGTGTGGAGGGGCAGGTCTGACAGCGATGCCATGTACACATATATTAGTGATGGATGCTGCTGAGCCGCGCTCAGAGGCTGCGATGCGGTGTCTTGTCTCATGAGAGGCCCACGCTGAGCCCGGGGGGCCGAGCGTCTCACTGCGTTTCCATCCGGCCCAGGCCCTCCCCACCATGAGAGGGAGCGCACCGCAGGCCCCCCCCGCACAAGCCACTGGTCGGTCCCCATTCCCAGTCACTCCTTCTCCAGGCCCCTGCCCTGTCCGTGAGGCCTGGATGACTCCCACGCTCACAGATGCCGTGGGGGGAGCTGCCGGTATCCCCAAGGCAGAGGGGCCCACTGCCCCTCGGGGTAAGGCTGTGCTCCCGAAGCTCCCACCTTGCCTCACCTCTGCTCGGCGGCCTCCAGGCGGCCAAGGGTCTCCTCCAGATGCATGCTGTGCTCGAGTTCCGACCTCCGCAGCCGAGCCTCAGTGGTCTCCAGCCGGGCCTGCAGCTGAGGAGGAGGGAGAGCCTGCCTGGTTTGGCTGCTCCTGAGCCCGCCGGGCAGGGGCTGACCCCGGGGCTCCCCAGGGGTGGGAGAGAAGGCTCCCTGGGGGCGGGAGAGGGGGTTCCCTGGGGTAGTGGGAGACGGGGCTCCCCGGAGCAGAAGACAGGGCTCCCCGGGGTCCCACAGCAGAGGCTGGGGTTGGGTCTGCTGAGGCCCAGGCCCCTCCACACAATGAACCTGACAGAGGAGGGGAGGGGCAGGGGCCCTACAGTGATGTGCCAGTCCCATCAGGCTTTGAGGACAGTGTGAGCATGGGTCAAGTGGGGGCACGGCTCTGGGGGCTGCTGGAGAATGCCCACATTTCACTTACAGATGGGTAAACTGAGGCCCCACTGCCCCAGCTACTCAGGTACTCAGGCAGCCCAGCCGTCAGGGCAGGGGGAGGGGCTCCAGGGCTGGGTTCCCCCACAAAGCACAGGATTGAGAGTCACAGGGCAACCTCTGGGGCCACCCGCTGGAGAGTGAGTGAGCGTGGCTGTCCTCCCCTGGGCCTCCTGCCTGAGTCCAGCACTTCACCACCAGGACACAGGCCGACTGCCCAGGGCCACTCTGCCATCGCTGAGGCCAAGACTGAACGCGGGTCCAGGAAACCAAGGGCCAGGGAAGGCCCAGGTGGAGGGGCGGAGGGGAGGGCAGCAGGCCTGGGGCCTCAGCTGTGGCTGTGGCCTGGCCGAATGCACAGGAGAGCCGAGGGGCCCCTCCTCGGCCACGAGCCGGGAGAGAAGAGGGCATCGGAAGACTGTGGTGGAGCCGGTGGGGTCTGGGAGTGCCACCCTAGGATGGAGATGCCATGGCCAGGCACTCGGGCCACCAAGACCCCGTCCCGCCTGTCTTAGGGGTGGCTTGGAGGAGACCCAGCCTCCTGGCACCCACACTTTGCCTGTTGAGCCGCCAGGAGCTGGCGTTTACTGGGCTGCTGGCGAGTTCGCATCTGACTCACGCGGCTTACTAATCGCAGGATTTCTGCGGCTTCTATTCCCACTGGCCTCTTCCCAACATCTCCCCACCCCGTGCTAGGAAGATGCCTCCCTCCAGACCTCCCCACAGCTGTAGGGGCTCCCAGGAAGAGTGGGCTGGCTGGGGCCCCCATCAGGTGGTCCTGCCCTCAGGGGCCCCAGGGTTGCCGCCAACAGTGGAATGTGTTTCTGAGTGGGGGTCAGGACGTGACAGAACAGGGCTGGGAGCAGAGAGCGGGGCCCTGTGGGGCTGATGCTGCCGCCCATCCTGAGAAGGACCCTTCCAGAAGGCGAGGCCCACTGCAGACCCCTCAAGCATTCAGTACCGGCCACTGGTCATGTGACTGAGAAGGGGCCAGACCTGGCTCAGGGGTTCAGATCTCCACCATAGCAATGGCAGTGTGGCCTGGGTGGTCATTGGCTGGCTCTTTGCCTCAACTTCCTTATCTGGAAAGTGGGGTCATCTGACCTGCCATGCAGAACCGGGGGGCTCTGAACATGGCATGGGTGCAACTGGACAAGTTGCACAAGGCAGACTGGACACCCCATTCCACGCGCCGGCTGCTTGCCCAGTCCGGCCTCACAAGCCAGCATGCCTTGAGCGGCTCAGGAGAGATGAGAGAGGCTCTAGGCTAGCGGGTTTCTTCACCTTTCTGCCTCAGTTTCCCTGTCTACACAGTGGCGGCCCTCCCCAGCTCATTTCCTGACTAAATATGCCTCTCGCATACCTCACAGGTCACCCTGGAAGGCACCACAGCCACCTTCCTCTGAGGAAGAGAGGCTAGAGAGACAGCCCTGCCTCTGGCCCCTTCCCTGTCCTCTGAGGTCCCAGTGGCCCCTGGATTCGGTGGTCAGGAAAGGGCCAGGGGGCTGGGGTGGAGCCACTTCTCCTCCAGCTGGGTCTGAGGTGGGGGCGCCGCCTGCCGGCCTGCTTTCCTCTGCTGTGCAGGCCCCAGCTTTGTGCCAGTGCTGGGCGAAGCACTGGGCCCTGAGGTCAGGACTGGACAGGCCACCCCGCAGTGCTCCCTGGCAGGTTCGGGGACAAGTCAGAGCCTAAGCTGGGTCGTGAGACCTGACCTAGGGGACACGCTGGGCATCAGGGAGAGGCCTGGACACGTCCTGCTTGGCCTCAGCTAGCCTATCTGTTGCCTCAGTTTCCCCGTCTGTTGCCCAGGATTTGAATGTGCCATGGCTGACCTTCTGTCTTTCCCAGTCTTAGAAATCCTGGTAGTCCCGACAAGTGACCCCTTACCAAGGGCTGGGCTGTCCCCACCCACCTACCCGGAGTCTGCTGCAGACACTCACCTGCTCGCTGACCACACGGCACCTGCTGGCCAGCTCATCCCGCTCGGCACCGGCCTGGGCCAGCAGGTCCCCCCGCCGGGCCAGCTCCTCCTGCAGGAGCTCGTTTTCCTCTTGCACCCGGGCCACACTGGCTGTCGGCTCCCGCGCCCCTGCTGACGGCACCTGGGTCAGCCCGGGTGGCCGGCCTGGGGCCCACCCGCACTCTGCCCTGTGCCCTGTCCCCATGGTGGGACCCTGTGCTGGCCTACCCCATCTCCAGCTCTGACCCGGGGACCCTGACATAGGGAGGCAGAATTCACACTCTGAGCCCTACTTCCTCTCATGCGAATCGAAATCCTGCCACCTCTGAGCACCTGGAACCCCAATGCAGACCCAGGCCCAGGCCGAGCCCCAAACCAGTGGCAGCAGAGTGCGTGGGTGGCCGGGACACCGGGCACTTGCCCTGTCCATGAAGCCGCCTGCCCTGCTGCGTCTGGGGGAAGGGACCTGGTCCCCGAGTAATCAGGGGTTTCTGTAAATACACAGTGGGGCGTCCTTCCTTACCACACACAGCCAGTTCCCTGGGCCTGCAGGAGGCTGGACAGACCATGAGGGAGAGGGGTCCCCGGGGCCCATGCACAAGGGAGTCCTGGGCACACATGACAGGCAGACTGAAGCTGGCTCCTCAGCTGCCAGGTGGATAATTGGAGGCAGCACAGGGGCCTGGGGCGAGTGCAGGCTGGGCAGAGCTCAGGGTGGTGGGCATCTGTGCCCCCTGAGTGCCAATGACAGGCAGAGCTCTGGGGCTTGGGTGTCTATGACCCCTGAGTGCCAATGATGGGCAGAGCTGGGGGGTGGGTGTCTGTGCCCCCTGAGTACCAATGACAGGCAGAACTCTGGGGGTGGGCATCTATGCCCTCTGAGTGCCAATGACGGGCAGAGCTGGGGAGGGTGGTGGGCATCTGTGCTCCCTGAGTGCCAATGATGGGCAGAGCTGGGGAGGGTGGTGGGCATCTGTGCCCCCTGAGTGCCCATGTCTAGCATTTCCACACCGAGGAAGAAACCAACACCAGTGAATCCAAGCCTAGGTGGCCATATTGTACCACACAGAGGCCACCCTGGCTCGGGCCCTGCTGAGCGCCCGGTGAGTACCGATGTGATCAGGGGGGTGGGGCCAGCCCTGGGCCCAGGACAGTCCCCCACGCTGTCACCTTGGGGTGGCTCCTCAGCCAGGCTGCCGGCCACGATCTCCCGGATGCGGGCAGGCACAGGGGTGGGTGAGGCCCGCTGGCCTTTCCCACGCACTGTCAGCACCCGGTCTTCCCTGCGGGCCATGGGGCTCAGGACAGTGTCCTCCAGTCTCTGAAAGACACCACAGAGACACCTGGAGCTGGCAGCCCCCAGCAGCTGCTAGGCACCCCCTTACAATGCCACTGAGTGAGTGGGGCCACCACAGGGCCACCCCACGGTAGCGAAGTGCCATGGAGAGGACAGGGTGAGGCTGGGCAGATCACTCAGGCGCATGCCTTGGTTCTCAGCCTGTGGAGAGGGGCTGTGCCTGCCTCCAGGTTCTGGAGAGGAGGACCGCACCCAGCCGAGGCAGCAGGTTCTGCGCTTGGGGCTCTGCCCCATCTTGCTGGGGGCTGGGCAAGTGGTCGCTGGTCCCTGGGGGATGCCTTTGCCTCTGCTCCACAAGAAACCCAACATCTTCGCCCACCTGGAGCAGGTGATCTCACAGCTCGTTTGCACGGTGGGGCCAGAGGAGAGACCTAGACCCCACCCAGCAGTCACAGACCCCAGCGTGGAGCGGGGACTGAGGACGGGTCGGAGGGCAGAGTCTGAACCCATCCTTCTCAGCTCAGCTGCCCGCTGCCCCTCCACAGGCCCGGTCCGTCTGGAGGGTGGGCAGGCCCGGGGCTGTGCCCTTGGGGCTCCGAGGATGAGCAGGGCCCTTAGAGTCCTCTCCTCCCACGCCCGTGAATTCTGGGCAGAGTCTAGGGCTCCTACCCTCAGGCTGCCCTCAGAGGGCTGCGTGGGCAGGGGGCAGTGAGGGCAGCCAAACAGCCTTCCTTCCCAGGTGGGTCCTGAAAGAAGCTCCAACAGGCCCACAAGTGGGCAGAAAGGCCTGGGACCTGGGCTCACCCTTGGGAGGTGTTTGCCGAGTGGCTGCCCTTCTGCCCCAGGAGTGCCTGGGTGTCCTGGGGACCCCAGCCTGGTTTTATGGGTCTTGGGCTCTAATGGCATTTTGCCAGACAGGGGCACAGCCGGGGGAGGGCCTGGACCCTGGGGCAGGGGTTCCCTGCCAGGTGGAACAGAAGACCGACTATGTGCAGGATGCCCAGGCCCTGTGCCAAGCCAGCAGAGGCCCAGGCAGCATCCCGAGGGGACATGGAAGGCCACGGCGATGCCCTGGCCTGCAACCTTAAGGATATGTGCAATTGAGGCAGCAAATTAACTAGCAGAGGGTGACCGGATGCTTGGCAGGGGTTGCTGGGAGGGGATGTCCACTCTCCAGGGCTCTGCAGCATGGCACCCAGAGTCTGCCTGAGTCCACCGTGCTGGCTGGGTGCTGGGCACGGAGGACCCCTCTCCTTGGGCTCCGTGGGGCAGCTCTGCCACCCAGTGCCTCCTGGGTCTTCCTCCTGCCCTCCTGCCCTGGCCACCTCCTGACTTCTGTCTCCTCTTGGCCCTCCCTGAGACCTTCCAGATCTCGGGCACCGGGTGCCCGCTGCCAGGCTGTTCCGGACCCTCCCTGGACACAGGCCTCCTTCTCCATCTGCACCCCAAAGATCTCGATCCCCCCCTCCGGGGTTGGAGAGTCACTGCAGACCCAGACTCAGCATGGTGCCGAGAGGCCCTGTTCATAGACCCTCAGCAAACGCCCAGCAAATGTGAACCTAGGCCCGGCCGTCCTCCTGGTCCTCTTGACAACCGTGTACCAGGGTCTGCCTCTCAGTCCCCTGGGAGGTCTTGGGGGCGCCTTCACCGCATGTTCCCCCATTGCCTCTTCTTGGGGAGGGAAATGGGCCCCCTTGGGAGCTGCTGCTCAGTGTGTGGGGAGGGACGTCCCTGCTCCTCCTCCTGGGCCTGCTGGTTCCCAGGTGCCAAGACCACCAACCAGGAGGAGAGGCTGGAAGGGGCTCAGCCATTCTGCCCTGAACCCCGTACTTTGCTCGCTGGAAAATGGAGGCCCAGCGGGGTGGCAAGAGGCACCGCAGGCTCCTCCTGGAGCTGAGACAGGCAGGCCCGCTCAACCCCCCAGGCCGGGAAGGGCTCTGCCCGCCTCCTCCGCCTGCTCAGCAGCTCCCGCCCCGCGCTCCCCCGGGCATCGGCGGCGCCACCCGCTAACGGGAAGGCAGCAGCGCGCGTAAACTTGACTCATTCCTAACATTTACAGAGGGTCACTTATTAGCGGGGCGTCCCGAGAGGCGCTGGGCGTAATGGGTTCCATCTGCGGCCGGGTGCCTGCAAAGGGCCTGGGCCTAGATGGAGCCGGAGGGGGGCGCGAGGGGCGCGGGGGGAGGGCGGAGGGGGGCGGGGGAGCACAGACGGGGGCGCGGGGGACTCAGGGGTGCAAGCAGGAATGCGCGGGAAGTGCCGGGGGCGCAGAGTGGGGCGCACGGGGCGTGGAGGGGGCGCGACTTTGGAGGGTGAGGGCTGCGCCGCCCACACGGAAACACCTGGAGGAGAGAAGGACAGAGGGGAGGGGAGGGGAGGGGAAGGAGGAAGGTGGGGGTCGGCGTGTCCGGAGGCCTGGGCGCTTGGGGCCCGCCTACGCTGCCTTCTCTGAGACTCCAGGCTGGTCCTCCACGCCCACTCCCCAGACCCCTCCCGTGGGCTCGCGCGGCCACCCACGCCAGAGATCCCAGCAGGGCGTCGCCTCCGGGCTTGTGGGTCCTTTGGGGCCTGCCCGTTTCCCCACCCCGGGACGCTGCAGGGGGCGGGGGGGCGGGGCGCTTGGAGGCTTCCATTCTAGAAGGCCTCGCCCTGAGAGGGAACACTAGAGATGGAGGTCACTTTCCCCGAGGACTCCAGACTCAGCTGAGCCTGGCTGCGCCTCCTCCTCCTGCCGGCAGCACCCTCTTCAGCCCAGCCTGCACTAAAGACCCAGGGAGGTCACAGCCCCTGCGCTAGGGCTAGGGGTAGCCGGCCGGGGGGGACCAGATCCTGGCCCTGAAGAGGGTGGCCCAGCAGGGAGAGCCAGCCGGTCCTCACTGTTGGGCCAGCCCATTTGGCTGTGTGGAGGGGGACAGCCCAGACCTTGGGGGAAATGTGGGCTCCCCCATCTCTGCCTCCCCAGGGTCAGAGCAGGGCTCCCCTCTAAGAGAGTTGGACTGGGGTCCTTGCTCTGCCACTGGTACACTGTGACACTGGGTGTGTCATCCCCACCTCATGTCGCCATCTGTGAAATGGGAGCAGTGACAATTCAGGCCCTCCTGGTCCCAGGGCCGGGGCTGTGGCTTTGAGGGCACACCTGCCCGCACCAGCCACCAGCCCCTGGGAAATGGAAGCTGCTGGAATCTTGCCTGGAGGCAAATGACCTCCCACCTCCAATGGAATCAGGACCCTCCTGTGGATCCCGGGCCCGCCTGCGTGTTGGCACCTGCCTGGAAACGGGGAGGACAGGGTTTCGGGGCTGCTGCCGGGGCCTCTCCTCTTACACCCCTCCCCCATTCTGGATCTTGGCCAAGATCCCAGAATGGTGGGCTGGGAGGTTGCCTTATCCTACTCCATACTGCAGATAGGGAAACTGAGGCCAGGGGCACTACCCCAGCTCTTCACTGGGGTGGGATGGAGCCACTGTGCACCTGCTCACGGTCCTGCCTGCTGGGAGGGCACAGCGCCACCAGGCCTGCATGCAACAGCCGGAGTCTTGGCTTTATCTGCAGACCACACTCCTGCGCTGATTCCCATCCTTACACCTGGAGCATGACCTTGGAGGTGCTCCTGCCAGACTGTCAGGGGTCAGAAGCCCTGGAGGGGCATCTCCCACACCCTCGTCAAAGCTGCCTGAAGCAGGGACAGTCAGGGGCCTGCTGAAGCCCAGACCCAGGGGCACTGGCTCCACCAGCCCTCAGCAATCCACCACCCCTGTCGTGCCATCCTGCTTGGACAGCGGCCTGAGCTGGGGGCAGGACAGGGGCAGGGAGGGGGAGCGTGTCCACTGGGACCCCCGCCCAGCCACCAGCAGGCTCTTTCGTCAGCCTGGATCAGCCTCATTGTGACCCCGGTCCCCTAGAACCTGGCCGGGCTCGGCCGATGTCAGGAATGGATTGCAGGGGGCTCTCGGCCTGGGAGTTGGGGCTGCACTGGGACCTGGAGTCAGGGAGCAGCAGCTGGCCAGCGCTGAGGGTGGCAGGATGGGTGGGCACAGTGCCCTCCTTCCCTGGACCCAGATAAGCAGGTCTTCCCCCTAACGGGGCGCCCTGTGGGCAGAGGCACAGCTGTTCAATCTCAGCTAAACCCAGACCAGGGACGGCAGTGGCCGAGACGGGGATGTCCCCTCTGACCGCCTGGGTGGCTCCTCAGGGTAGGTCTCCCGTGGGACCGTCTCAAAACCCCAGCATTGCTGTCCTGTGACCCACAGGGGGCTTCGTGTGGCCATGGAGACTAGAGGGCCCTGGAGAGGCAGTAAGTGAAGGCCCCTCGGCCAGGGCCGTGTCTCAGGTTCACCCTGCCCAGAAGGCCCCTCGGCCAGGGCCGTGTCTCAGGTTCACCCTGCCCAGAAGGCCCCTCGGCCAGGGCCGTGTCTCAGGTTCACCCTGCCCAGAAGGCCCCTCGGCCAGGGCCATGTCTCAGGTTCACCTTGCCCACAGCCAGGCTCAGAAACTGGAGTGGCTCCTCTTGACTGAGTCTCCGGGTTGCGGGGGCAGGGGGAGGTGCCCAGTCTGTGTCTCCTCCCCCAGGGAGAGGAAGGTGGATTCAAAAAAGTAACCCAGCAACTTCTGGGACAGAGAAGGGCTACGATCCCCAACACCTGGATTCCAAGTTGGGGAGACATCTGGATTCACCGAGGGGGGCCAGGCCAGCCCGTGGCAGCAGGGAAGGGCACCAAGATGTCCCTTTTAAATCTCTGCATGAGAGTGGGCCTCTGTCCAGTGGGTGACCCCAGCCCAACCAGGACCCGGCCTCAGGCCCCATCCTCACGTGGGGGGAGCAGGACCCAGTGAGGGGTGGGAGGAGGTGGCTCCCAGCAGAGGGTGGAGGGCGGACACCCCTGAGTGGGACCCAGTGAGGGGTGGGATGGAGGAAGCCCCCAGCCCGAGGGTGGAGGGTGCCTTCCCCGAGCTCCCACAGTGCCCCCGTGTGGCCGAGAGGAGCGCTGCAGGGGCTGCTGGTCACGCTCTTGCAGAAGTGAGTCT